TATTTATCCACCTACCTATTTATGTATCCATCTATCTATCACCTACCTACACATTTACGGTAATTGGAGATAGTCTACTAACCCCTTGTGTACAGGGTCCCCTCTGTGATGGCGTCGTCGTAGTGAAGAGGTTAATGGACACTACCGTAGAACTATTTAATAAGTGTATGAGGTAGTGTTGGCTACTTTCCCAGCCTGTGGTCTACGTCACGGTTAAGCTCGTGTGTGTGTGTGTGTGTGTGTGACAGTTCTGACCTTCAGCTACCCTATTGCTGCTGCCGGGGGAAGGGGGGGTGGCGTAATATTAGGGATTAAGGACAGGTTGTTACACGTCACCAAGGAATATACTTACATTATCATAAGAATGTTTATGGATGAATCCAATGAATTTCAAAATGAACACCGAGACCCCTCTTGCCTCGGTAAGGTGGTCAATATCCTTCGTCTGTTGTGACTTATTGTCTTCCACAAAATTGTAAATATGCTTTTTCTGATTGTGTACCAAACCTTTAAATCTTAACCTCCCCTTGTCTGGCCATACTAGGAGGCACACTAAGCTAAGTCCTTTTTTAGTTGAATGTTGTGCAAAACAACTATATGTGACCTTAACCTGTATAGAAAGGGTAACCGTAGTATACCAGACACAAGCAAGTAAACACGGTATACTAATAAGGGCACAACCCCACGGTCTGTTATACATGATATTCACGTCTTCAATACTCGCTGGACTGTTTACAAAATATTGAATTTGCCGTCGCTTCAGTGACTTCCTTAATATAATGTACACCTTCTGGGCCTCTGGCGAGATGCTTCCTACCCTGCCAAGGAAACATCACCAGCACATACTACCCATATCGTGGTGCAGTTTTGGCGTCAAGCACATGATGTTGGCAGCATGATGAGCCTGGCGCTGTCTTGGCACCATCCCCCCTAGTGAGCTGGTTGTGGCCGTCACGTGGGAGGTTTAGTCAGAAACAAGGCAGTGAGGAGATAACACTCTTTCATTACTAACACCCAAGCTAACACCTCCCTCCATCATGATCTGATATCAAAGACATTGGTTCAGTGGTCGTGAACTCGGGAATTGCTAAGTACAAAAAAAATCTTACCCTAAGCCAAATAGGCCTGTTTTCAACAGTACCAACTATTCTGGAAGGTTCCATATTTATTATGATGGATACTACAGTCAGCTGCATTGAAGAAATCCCGCGGAAGGACTTGCTGATCCCACAGATCCGCCTTAAGATAATACATCTCAACCTGGATGAACGTGGGAGGAGCCTCACCCCTCCTCTCCCCAGTGAGGGCAGTGTGGTGCAGCGGTACGTGCGACAGCCACTGCCCAGGAAGCATCTACATCAGTTAAAGAGCTATGGACACCTTCTGAGTGACCCTCACCACTACCAAGGAGTCGGGAGTAATGGTTGCCCTAGGAAGAAACAATCTAATGGAGCACTGCCTTCACAAAATTCTCTGGCAGATGACAGCACTTACAGCCGAAACGTTGGTTCCCACAGTGAGGAAAATGGCAATAAATACCCTCTTGAAGATGAATCTGTTTATGTCATTTTCATGAAAGGAATGAACAACTTCCAGTGCATCGATAAAGATAAGATACTGAGTACCATCGTCCAGCTAGTAAACAATCATGCAGTATCTGTCGCAACAAAAGAATATTCAATCTTTAACAAACAAAGAGGTTTATCTCCTAAGTCCACCCTAAACCACTTTTTGGTACAGAGTGCACTTCTTGTTCTGAACGAGCTTGTAGACGAGGGAGTGTTAGATATCTCCCGACGGGACGTGGCACAACTGGGTCAGTGCATCACCTTCTCCCTATACTTTCACAAGACCCTCCAGCAGCTGGGGAGGAGCGCATGGCACAGTGCTTGGCACAGTGCCTTCTCCCAGATCATCAGAGATGCCTGGATGAGTTTTGGCTGCCTTGGTGCTGTGTTTATCATTTCTGCCATGAGACAGTGACCAAGGAGGGACATGTTGATGCCTCACTCCTTGGGAAGGGAGCTAGAGCTGGCCTCACTACTCCTCAGGACAAAGACACTAGTGCAACTGACTCATTCCGTAAGCCTGAGAAGTTCAATGGATTAATTTTGGGGGCCAGGAAAGTGCTGTTAATTCATTCCTTAAGCCCCAGAACTTGTTTTAACTTCTTTTATGGACCAGTTATTGCTTATCAGTTATCTCTGGCCACAATACTGTACTTTGGGTGGTTATTAGTATGGTGTGCCGATCAACTTTCAAATGTTATTATATATTGAAGTGACAAACTCGTAGTGGCTATCATATACTGTACGGTACTACAAATAATGAACTTGCAATCGTCGGAATCTTAAACAAATTCAAACATGGGAACATAAGGAAATCATAAAAAATACCGACGACTGAATTAGTGTTACTGTATTATGATGAGAAGTTTAAGTGACTACAGAATATTCTAACATGAAAACTGGCAGTGTTTATCAACCATTACTGCAATGAGCAGAAACTACTCCCACAAGCAGACTTAAAACGTTTATCAGATAACAGCAAGAATCTCCGTGTGCTGTTTATTATACAACCTTTCAACTCTAAAATATGTTTCGACTACTGTACGTATACAGTACACGTACTGTACTGTATCAAGTTTCTGAGTGGCTGGGCCAGAAGAGTCATGACAACATAAAGAAGGACCAGACGTACTACTGTACTGTGCTTTCTCTCTACTGTATCTGTAGGTAAGATTTGTCATATGAAGTTATGGCAAATTCATAGAATATATTTTTGATAAGTTGTAACTTTTATCTGTAGTGTCATGAACCTAATATGTATCATTAGCAAATAATGTTGTGTAAGCCGAGGACAAACCTCAAGTGAATATTTCATGTACTTTAATTCAGCATTACAACTGTGTTAAATTATTGATTTGTATATTATCTTCTAAACCTTAAATAAATAAACAATATCTAAATAAGTGATGTTCATATACCTTCATGGATGCCCTAAATACAAAACTGTCATACTTATACAGCTGGACACTTTTAGTCTCTTTTTGGTGTCACACAATAACCCACTTCAGTTCTGCCAAGAGCATCCACACCTTAATGTCTGCCAGCAGCTAGTGGATGACTGCGGTATATTTGTAAACATGAACCAGTGTCAACCATCATGAACTATTTATATCTCTTTTGTTATTTTGTGGTAACCAGTTGTGTCTGAGAGGGAGGTACTACAGCATAAGCAGAAAATGGGATATACGTATATTACAATCATCACTTATGTGACTGATAAAAATGGGTGACTATTGTACAGTACGTACTAAAAAAAAAAATAGATTGTTGATCTAATAATGGTAAATTATTATCAACTGGCATTGCTGTTTAAGTGTTTAACTAAATAAAAATACCTGTATACAGTTTGAAGGTTTCTAACAAACTTTACAATACCAGTATATGGAACAAAACTGATCAAGGAGAGCCTCCCTGGCCTCCATCTTATATCTTTTACTTTTATTTTTATTTCCTTCACCACCGATCGGATCCTCAGCCGCTTGGATGGTTGGTCACGCCTCTATTACACAATGTTGGCGAGTACAGTACTGGGCATGCACTGGCTCCTGAATGTATCTATCTCTTTATCTTCTTTTATCTTATACTGAACCTCAAAATATGTAAAACATAAAGTATGATACAAAACATTCAAGTTCAAATATGATAACATCTTAATAAGCAATTTGACATTTTCACATTAGAAGGACATCTCAAGTGTGACAATATACTGTTCTGAACTCGTATATAACTGATTATCTCTATCAAAAATAGCATAACAATTAACATCTCATTACTTGCAAACATTTCCACAGGTTCTTCAGTCATGTTAACATCCACCTCAATTGTCTTATGACATTGTTCAAATCCTAAATTCAACTTTCAGTCGGTAAAGTAAAAAAAAAAAAAAAGCAGTGTTCTGCTTTTACATTCCAAAAAATACCCAGGATGTTTTTTGTTCTGTTTTTATTTCCACCACTTTGATTCTCAGCAATTCAGGTGGACAGTTTGTTATTTTGTCAAGCACAACCTTCATTGTCCAGTGTTAAAACAGAACCAAGATGGAGTACAGTATCCGGAGAAACCTGCAGTGTTAGGTACGGTGACACTGGATAACATCCTTTTCACGTCTGAGCTAGGAAATGAACCTGCAACACAGTAGTGAGAGGCAAGCGCACTACTATACTATACTGCTATACCAATGAATACCTCAAGTTTGGTAATCTCTTAACAAGTATGTCACCTCTGGTTATGCAAGTTATGCAAGTTCATCTTTTTTGCTTTCTTATAAGACCTTTTCTGCTGAATTACTGGATGGCCAAAACCAACATTAAAGACAGACACCCTTCATAAGGTGTCATTTAATCACTCTTACTACTGCAACAAATATGTCCTGCTACTATCTTCACTTCCCACACAAAGGCCCAAAGACATCTACTGTATGTGGTTTACCCCAGAAACTTCACACAACCCAGCTATAACCATCAGCATCATGTCCCTCTCCATAAACCACTGACTCCTGGTTTCTGGTCATCAACACAAACATTTTCAGAGGAAATTTATGAAAACTTACCTTGAAAGAACTCCTCCATTACTATTGATACTTGTCAAAATGTGTGATACAGGTATTTAGAATTTTATGCACGTATTATAAGTGTTTTAAATTTAATTTTCTTTATCTATACAAGATGTTTCTCTTCATGAGAATTACGTCCAGAATTTAGAATATTTCTGTCAATGTTTTATGCCTCGTGTTTAAAATAAAATGATTCTACCTTTAATTGTATCCTCTTTCAATACCAATGGCCAGGTAATATCTCATGTTAGAAATTAAATAAATTACAAACCACATGTACTGGTATAAATTCAATTCTATGTTTTCTTATGCTGTACAGTATATACTTCAAAAGGATGCCACTGTCACAAGAGTGGAGAACTGTGTTGGTGGGTACTTACCAATAACTTCCAATGTGGCAGCAGACACAGCCTTCCCCACACTGTTTTCTGCAATGATAGCGACTCTTCCCGCCTGCATCATGGAGGTGGTGGGCAGCTCTAAGGTATGGGTGTTCCTGCTGCTCCCCATCACGTACTGCATGTGACCACGCAGGTATTCCTGGCCAGTGATGCGGCAGTCATTTAGCGTCCAATGTACCTGAAAGCGATTAAAATAAATTTTTAACACACGTGCAAGAAATTCAAACTTACTTCATCATATCTGAATATCATCCCCTTGACTAAGCTTCCTTATTTCAAGAGCATGTAGAGTTCAACTGTGTGTTAGGTACAGTAGCAGGATTAAATGGCTTATGTAGTATAAACCATTACATACACCAGATAAACTAGTTTCTGTCAGTAATGAAGTGCATTTATAGTTGTTAAGATTTGAGATTAACTAATGTTGAGTAATTATTTTTCTATAATAGAATAAAGAAATACAGCACTGTACAGTATTAGGTCTCAGGAGCAATATTAACCGATGCAGATATTTCAGAGTACAGTAGGTCGATTTTGCTCATGGTTGGAGTACCTGGCCAAGTAACATTTCCTGGGAAGTGTATACCTGGGCATATTCTGGTCTAGACCAATTCATACTCTAGGTGTAAGTTGATATAGGCTGAATACTACCCCAGGACTGATTCTACCCTAGGGTCTTATATACCTTTAACCTAACATAATTAATACCACCCTAACTTAACCTAAACCTTCAAGGATGAACTGGCTTAGATTTATAATGTGCCACGTATAAAGAGGTCAGAGTATAATCTGGTTCACCACACTGCATCATAACAAAAGCCCAAGAATCAGATACTCTACAGTATGTAGTTTTCACTGCATGGCAGAAAATATAGATCTTCATTTCTTGCCTCAACTTTATGAATTACAAAACCTTTGAACATACATTTAAATATATATAAACTGTACTGTATATAAAATGTTCATAAATGGAAACCTATGGTGTATAAGACCACACACTCACACATGACAATACGAGATGCTTTTTTTTTCCATTTGTGTGTATGTGTTGATGTATGGAGCACCTTTTTATTAAGATGATAAGAAGTTATTTCTGTATGTCCATTTTCATAATAAATTTATTCTTTATTTTTTATAGATGCAATATGACTTACAAGGGTCAGAGTGACAACAAAATTCACAGATAAAGTAACAGTGTGAGTGTAAATATTTTCATACTCATTACCAATACATTATAGAAGTCAAATTATCTAAAGAGGCAACTTTCTCTCTCACTTGTGATTTCCAGTTTCAACTTTTACATCATCAGTGTTCTCGTATTGTATTACCACAACTGAAGATAAAACAACTAAAAACCTGTTATATTCACTTTGGTACAACAGCAACTGGTTCATAAATCCAATTTTTAATGTCTTCCTCAGCCAACCTCAGTCTTTTATTCTCTTACTACTGTACTATACTATGCTGTGATGTACTGTACTGTACATTCCTCAATATATTAACTCTTAGCTACACAATCAATATTGTTTTAGTAGTTGTAAATTGTGTTCAATAACTGCAAGACAACATTAATTAAATGCCAGGCATCTGTAGTGACCTTCAAGTGCACTGTTACTCACAACAATATAATGTCATATACAAAATGCAACAAGACTCCTGGTGAGATGACCAATTCATCCTTGAGGTCAAAAAAGGGTTGTTGCCTGCTGTCATTTCACATTTAAGATATTATACCAAAGGAATCACAAACCAAAAATGATGAAAATCTAAATAGAAATGAAGCTGCCTTGCCAAAAGGTTTATGTTTACAGAAAAACATATGAAGACAATGAATACCTTTCCATCACCTAGGCTTCATTATTAGCATGATGAAGGGAACAAATTGTTATCCACATGTACGAGTAATTACCTTTTATTCCCTTCTACTGAACTTCTGATGAACCAAGTGTGCCAAGACGATACAATACAGTATACTGTACAGTACGTACTGTATACATTCACACATCCTCAAATTATATCAACTAGCATTAAGAATCAGAACCAGAACTGGAGTACTGTACTGTATATTTCACCCTTCTAACACAAATAAACATTCTCAGTGCTATTGATTCACTCATATCAAAATAGATTTCATATGAGCAACAATTATCACTAATTATATGGAAATTAAGCACCTATATTAAGCCATGAATTTCTACACCAAGGAAACCAGAGGAAAATAAATTTCAAATGGAATACTTCTAGGAATAACCTACAAAATAGTTGGTTTGTGATCAATTGTCCCTGTAACATGGTAATACATGATCATGTTGGGGAAATATGTGACGCTACCAGTAGCAGTAGAGTGTGAGAGACTCAACCCCATTTATCTAATATCAAAAGTACAAAAGGAATTAACTTCTGCTGTTGTCTATCATATTAGATGTTCTGTCAAGACCTTGGACTTAGCAAACTTTTCTTGTCTGGTGAATGTCATCCTATAAAACTTTAGAAGTACTGTACACTGTATACAAGTACTATAATAAAGAATGGCTGGAAAGGTAATGTGACTACCTCTCACAACTGTGTCCCAGGTTTGATCCCTGACCAGGTCAGATGTGAGAAAGGTGACCCTACCAAACATTGCAGGTTTCCTCTGGGTACTCGATTTCCTTCTGTACTATCACATGACAATGAAGGTCATAACAAAGACCAGAGTGACCTCCTAAATGGTTTACAATCTGATGAGTCGTAAAATTGATAAATCAACAATATAAAAATAAAGTACTGTATCATAAGTAAAGTGCTAGGGAAGCTCCTGTGTTGTGTTTGGCTCTGGAAACAGTCCACCTTGATAGAGTGCTTCCTTTAGTAGATCTACCCACACCTTGGTACAGTACAGGTAGTGTTTAATACATCACAGCCAATTTGAAAACTATTTTAAAATCACAATTCACACAAACCCTGAACATTCTTTAATATCATTATATATCATTAATTAATATAATTTTACTGAAGGTAAAATATATATTCTGGAAATCATCTCCCAATGTGATTATATCGTAAGATCTATTCAATATGGCCATGAAATGAAATTAAGGTAAGAGGTGCACATTTTATTAATGTATTAGACACATTTCTAGCGCATAAATATCTACTTTTATTCAATTATTGACACAGTAGACAGTTTGTATCAGAGCAGTGGTGTTAACACTACAATGTACACAAGAGGCCTCACTCTTATGTGGTGTCAACCTTAAGGTATTGTTCTTCATATTCTTAATTACTTGCTTGTCTGGTCTCCTCAGTTTAGTAATTACGAGACTCTCTTTCCTATTCTCTAACAATGTTTCTTAAAGTAAATAATGTTAATCATTTCAATTCTGGTAAACTTTGTTAATGTGCAGAACAAAGCTTCATATGAACTTAAAAACTATTCATTCCTAAGTACAATTGCGGAAATTTGTTCCTACACCCCCTGTGGTAACCAGTGTCTCCAAACAGCAACGTCACAATAGTAGTATCACTATTTATGAATGAATGGGTATCGGTTGTGTAACGACGGATGTGATTGGTGGATAGATTTGCTAGCTCATATACTGTAGGTTTGCCACTTGGAGACACAGGTTACCACAGTGGGTGTAGAAACACATTTCCACAATTGTACAAATGAAGTACTGTAGTTAATATTCAACTATACAGTACAGTATATAATAGTTTGTCGTAAAGTAAGTTACAGAAACGTTTTGTACCAATACAGGTACTAAACTCTTATAAGAAAATGATAGGTTAAAAATTATTACCATCTTCTTTCATTACATTCTTAATCTTTCATTTTGTCACAATGGTAAAGTAACTAATGTTCAAGAGCATCTCAGTAAGACAACTGTCCATATGGTCCATCAATTACTTCAGTCCTTTTACTTTACATTAAGTCTCACTTCATCGCTCCTTTTATAGAACCTCCAATTACCGTTGCTTCTCTACAGACTCGCACCCTTGTTATATCTAAGGTTAATTTCAAGTTTCCCGTTAAGTCAAGTAAACTTTCTCCTCATTCATCTAAATCAAAATGTTATATTCTGCCTAAACTGTAATGTCTAGCATCAACCATTCAACCTGAACAATTGTAATAAAGTCCTACATGATCCTAACAACAGGAAGTAAGTATATGGCAAACTTACAGTATTCTAAATAGCTAGAAATGTTCAGTGATGGTAATAAATCATCAATGGCAAGAGTATCTAGTGAGTATTCTTTATGGTGTCTCCCACCACTCTGTAAAGTGGCAACACCAAAGTGATAAGAATAAACGTCACTCTAAGGTCTTGATATAATAATAACTATTAACTATATTGTACTCTGCTGACTTTTCTTCAATTATAACTTATCTTTCGCCAATAAACAGCAACACAGGCTGTATTATTTATTTTAACATACTGTACTTTGCTACACTCTTTATCCCAATGACTTCCAAACTCCTTGTTCTTTTTGTTGTGTTGTATTACTCTCCTCCTCTGGTCCCCAATATATGCTAGAGACTGTCAATTGATCGAAAATGTCCAAAGGAGGGTCACCAGACTGGTGCCTGCACTATGGAACCTCAGTTATCCAGAGATTAGAATGCCTATAACTGCCTAGCTTAAACTACAAATGGGCAAGGGGTGAACTAATTGAAGTGTATAAACATCTCAGAGGGCACTACTCAGTTGTGTGTACAAACCTGGAGCTGGCGAACGCCTGCCCCACAAGGGGTCACAGCTCAAGGTTGAAGAAGCCACAAGTCCAGAAAACTGTGAGGGCAAACTTTTTCAGTGAGAATTGTGAACTCCTGGAATAATCTGCATAACAGAGACTTGACCAACCGCCCATGTGGCTAACAAGCCGATCAGTGGCGAAGAGGATAAAAGTAAAGAAAGCAAAGTACAGTATAAATCAGTTCAGCTGCTTCCCCCCTTCAGTACGATGTCTTTTCCCGAGTTCTAGGATCTTCCCATTGAGTAAGATATCCTTACCCCTGAGTATGATGACTTAACCCATTCAATAGAAAATCCAATCCCTTATGTATGGTGTCTCATCCCTTCAAACATGATGGCTAATCCCCTCGAGTGCAATAGCACTGTACTGTACTCATGAGATTTTATCATCAGAGTCAAGGAGTTTAGATGCTGAAGCCAAAATATATCAATATGAGGCATGACATTAAACAGTCAAGTATTGGAGGGTGTGTAAGTTAACGCATGGCTCTACAGACTCCTAATTTAGAACCATCCTATCCCATTAAACTGAAAAAAATATATATATATATATATATATAGATATATATATATATATATATATATATATATATATATATATATATATATATATATATATATATATATATATATATATATATATATATATATATATATATATATATATATATATATATATATATATATATATATATATATCATTCTCATATTGTTCAAGTGCTGATTTCTGTTATGCTGAAAGACAAGATTATGTCCAAAAATGTCAAAAGCTCTTAGTCAAGTGTAAAGAAATTAATAAGAGTACTATGAGGCACACAATATACCAGATGGCAAGTTTGACCACAATGCTGACATATGGCAGAGACTTGGTCTTTGTTTTCTGTACTTTAGCTTGTCATGATGCTGTCAATTCTTATGAAAATACCTCTATTGGTACGTTCAATAGTTATCTTAAAAAAATAGATAATGTACATCCATTTACCCAAATGGGTGTATGAAAACAAAATGTATGATATACATTGCTAGTATTGACACCAGTCAGGAGTATTTTAAAGTAATGAAAAAATCCATGTCAAGACACGAACAATCTTAGTTAAGAACCCTAAACTATTATAAATTGATATGATACCACCAATATCATCAGAGCAACTCAACAAAACAGGTATGAACCCTAAGAAATATCACATCATACCAGCAACAAGAATAAGATTCATTATGTCATAATTAACTTTCATTTGTTGTCTCTTCAACACCCTTATAGTACATAACATAAATGAGATAATATCCTGCTTGTACTAAATGTGGTGTTTCCTGGTCCATACATTCTCCCTCTATGATGGCTCCTTGACCTCTTGTTGCATGGAGGCAAGTCTCAAACACCATATTGTGAGCAGTTTCTCCTGACAGAGTATTAAATGTCTGTTGCATTAATGATGGATTATCAAGATCAATGAAAGCAGCATGAGAAAATGGGAACACATACGCCCTGATAAACGCTTGACCGGCTTCAATAATTGTATCGAGTTTTTCAATTATTATCTTCTTTATTTCTATCTGCGAGAGACGTTCAACAGTCTTAATTATGAACAGCAGAGCCTTGCTTGGTGCTGAGGGATTATTACATTCTTGTGACTGCATCTCTATGGCTTCCTTCTGTTGGCTATTGTCAGCAAAATCAGTTAACAATTGGTTTGCACTTATAAAATTTTCAGTGTAAGGTGTGGAGGTCTTCAAGCTAGTAATGTCAATTTGAGACAGGAAATGTGAGTCAGTTGTTAAGTTAGGAGAGGATGCAGATATTTTTGATGGGGTCTGTAATACCTTTGTTAGCTCGCGAAGTTTTGCTAGACGAGCAGCTCGTCTTGCTCGTCTCTCAATTTCATACATATCTGTGTCATTTGTGATGAATGACAGTTCATCTTTAACGTGGACAGACTCGGAGCAAACAATGTTAATTTCCTTTCGCATATTATATCCTGCTTCTGAAGGATCTACTTTAAGAGATTCAATAAAGATATTATCTTCAATACTATTTGAGTCATTGCTGTCCTTAGACGTATCTTCAAAATCTGAAAAATAACTTTCTTCGGAAATTACAGACAGACTGCTGGGGCACCTCAGGTATTCTGAAACATGCTCTTGTACTGGGGTGTGAAATCGATTAACAGTGACTTCCATACTACCAGATATTTGTTCTATCTCTTTTCTACATTTCTTGTTAAGCTTATAAAGAGGAATTTCTTCATCAATTTCTGGTGGAGTTGTAATAATTCCCACAGTGGAGACATCTAAGGATAAGTCAACACTGGAAATATATGCATCTTTATATTTATCATTTATCGCAGAGATGATATTATTATTACACGAGTCAGTATATGCATCAAAGTCAGTTGGGCTCTCGATAATAGACTTTAATTCTCTTCCACATGTTTGTGTGGATTCAGTAGATATTCTTTTACTTCCCGTTAACTGTGGATCCAATTTTCCTTGTCTTTCCTTTATATCCTTTGAAGACAGTTTTAAAGAAGTGACAGAATTATTATTAAGATAATCAGATGATGTGAGACTTTCATCCGTTAAATTCCAGTTTATTTTATCCTCCTCCTCTGGGCTGTTCTTGGAAACTTTGGGAAAAACTAATAATTTATCTTCACTTGGGCTGCTTTTCCTTGAAGGTTCTTCTGAGGATGAAAATGTACAACTATTTCTCTTGGAAAGACCAGATCTTGGAGACTCAACTGTAGATTCTGAACCAGCAGTATTTGATGAGAAATTTCCTGAAAAATATCCAGATTCTAGATCTCCATCAGAACTTAAAGATGTGGATTTCCTGTTACTGTCAGTGTCAGTTTCAAAAGGAAAATATTGTTCATTCTTCTTATCAGGACTGTCGTCTTCTGGATTGGGTAATTTATCCTTAATCAGACTCCATAAATCAGCAAGTTTAATTGGTTGCAATGATTCACTTATCCCAGTGTCAAGGAAACAAGAAGGTTTCTGTACCTCCTCAGGTGTTGGGGTCAATGTACCACTCCCAGTACTTACGTCCACTTTGTCTGTTACATCTGCTGTAACGTCAGTTGACTCACAGTCAGATACAATTAGATTTGAATAATCTTCTGAAGTCATAATTGCAACATCATTAAATTTATGAAACTGATCAAATCCTGTTGAAGATTCTGGATTCTCAGAGTCGTCGAGAGAACCGTAAACAACAATGTTTTCCATCATGAAACGAGAGTATGTGTCAATATCTAGTATCTTCATGTTATGAAATGTAGATAAGTTACTGGTACTTTCATATTTATCACAACTTTTTACCTCCTCTTTTTGAGTTACTTGACTCTCCCTTGATTCATTTTCTTCTGAGAAAGGAAAACAACCCAACTGGCTGAATTTTGACATCATTTCAGCAAATTCACTTTTCCCTAATACATTCACACTACTGCATACACTACTTTCAATACCCAAGTCAATATCATCAAGATCTGATGCATCACCTGCATTTATTACAAGTTCATCAACTTCACCATTATTTACTTGGTTTAAATTACTCTTCTGCTCTGTTTCACCATCACCTCGTGAAAAAATATCTGAATTATCATTAATATTAGAAAATGTCTTCTTGCAAAAGTTACTATCACTCACCGTGGGCGTGGGCAGCCCCATAACCTCAGCTTCAAACTTGGCACTGCATCCACTTGTGACTGTGACATCAGTAATGAGTTTAGTGAAAACTGGAGGCTCCGTTTGTTCTGCCGGTGGGGGTGTGGGAAGACGTGGCTCAATGCTAAGGTACGCTACACACTTGGCTGTCCCTGCAGTGTTTGAGGCTACAATCTCATACTGACCAGTATGATCAAGGGTTGCAGCATGAATTGTTGCACTCACACTCCCATCAGAACTTTCATGAATCTGTAACAGAGAAAATTATTTCACCTTTACATCATCATGCTCATCTGTTACAGTACATATTCTCCAGTGAATGGTTCACCTGTCAAAAAGTTTCACAAAAGAAAATTATCAAACTAGTCACTGTAAAGGTAAAATATAAATCAGTATAATATACTACTCAGTACTTATCGTCTGTCACAGAGATAGGGATTGTGGTAAGTTAAATTGATAATTATTTAAAATAAATGCTGCATGGTGACTTATGATATAAGCAACTTCATGAAAATGACTTTTAAAAAGAGTCAAAGGTTATAGCTATAACCAACAAATTTTTTAACTCCAAACCTAACAATGGGATATTATGTGTAAAGATCCTGGAAACAAACTCAACAGTGGATTGGATCCAAAAATAAAGTTACTAAACGTTCAGGATTCATAAAACAGTTGTAATAAGTTTTACTTCATATTATGGCACAATTACCTGTAACTCATTGTCAGGAATCAGTGGCATGCCTTCCCTGAACCACGCAATTGTAGGTTTTGGCTGCCCTGTGACTGTGGCCCGCAGAGTGACAGGGTTACCCTCTGTGACATGATTGTCAGCCAGTAACAGGGAAAATCTGGGAGCCACTGCAGGAGGTTCTGGTGCTGGAGGTGGAGTAAGTTCTGGGACAGCTGAGGGTAAAAATTATTATTTGTATGGTAAAGTAACTAAAGTTCCAAAGTTCTTAAACATGAAAGTATTAACATTTTGCACTAATATAATTTTCACTTTATAACTACAATATAATCCAGGTCTCATAAAACAGATATTAAACAGGCAATAAATTACATGATACTCACGTTCAACATTGAGGAAACAAGCAGTTGATGCTTCACCGGCAGAGTTCATGGCAACTACCCTGTATATACCAGCATCTTCAAGAAATGCTTCCTGGATGATGAGGGAGCAGCGATCTCCATGGAACAGCAGTTTGAAATCACTTGACTCCTTGACTGGTTTATCATCATGGTACCATATCACCTGTTGAAATAAAGAGACACTTGAGAGGTTGGTTAACACTAAATCATACAGAGGATTTATGTATAAATTATTTGTATAATTTAATGCAACAGAGAGGTTTGATAATAATGTGGATGACTAGTTATTACATCCTACATAAAATGGAGATACAGTAGTGTATTATTGAAATGGGTTTTCATTTTAAAATATATTCTAGGCATTTTTTTATCTTTAATTCTTCTTACTTCCTCACAATGCACTGGATGGCACCTCCTGGGTAAGAAATGTATGTTAGTCCAAAGTCCTCAAATGATTACCCAACTCCTGTTAACACTACGTACATAACCAAGTGAAAAACCCATTGTCAAAGGAATCTGGCTTCAGTATCTAACTTGTGTCTCATTACAAGGCATTTTTGTGACTGTTTACACCTTTACATAACTTATCAATCCAGGACATTATATACACCTACAGAAGCAGTTTTGATACCAAGTTCAGAAGGTACAGTAAGGTAGAGTACAGTACAGTAGTACATGAAATTGGTGAAAGAGGGATGGGGGTAATAAGTTGAAGGTGGTAACAATAATAACAATAGAAGTGAAGGAGATGGACATCCTGGATACAGTAGTGTATGAGAAGAAGCAGAACTTAGTTGTCTGGTTTATGAAGATGTTACCGTAAATGATGAATGTGTGTTTGTTGTTGAATCCAACCTTCGTACAATACAAAAAAAAGGCTCACAAGAGAAGGAAAAAATCATTACATACCTCAGGTTCAGGCTGTCCAACAATAACACAGTCAAGCCTGGCACTCTTCCCCTCCATGACATTGGTGTCCTTCAGGGGAAGCTGCACTGAAGGCTTCACAGGCTCCACATCTATGTCTGAAGTAACCTCGGAGTCACTTGTCTCAGTTGGGATGCGGCCCTGTTGGAAGACATCAAAGACAAGTACAGTATAGGAACATTTTAACACTCACACTACTATGTAGAAAACTATAATTAATGTATAAAGACAAATTACTTGTTAGACTAAAGCACTTTTATATACACAATACTAATTAAGGATGAAAGATTAAATAAATTTATACAGAATGTATGGGAAGAAATTTTCCCAGGAAAAAATTAGTAAGTTTTCAGATTTTTACAAGATGAAATGACAACAGGAAATAACAACATGCTCAACTGCAGAACTGAAATCCAACTCAGTGCGTCTTTTACATATGGATATCAACATGTATAATTTGAAGTATTTTCTAACACGTCTTAAGTTCAGTACAGTCAATATATTCTTTTTAAAGAAGGACAACAAGTTAACCAAAAATTACAGTACTGTGCACTGTACTGTATTGCTAAAATTCCATACATCCACAAACCTTAGAGTGTTCATGAATCCCCTATGAGGCAGCATGAAAAATTATGAACAAATTACAGGGCAGAGAATGGAAGTGTCTGCTAAAGCAAAGCTACACAAGACAAAATACAGAGTAATTATTTTATTCGAGAACCTGAATGATTACCATGTAATATATAGGGTTCTCAAATAAAAAAATTACCCTGTGCAACTCAAAATTTAAAGATTATATATAGTAAATAAAGATAAAATAAAACAACACATTTAAAGTGTATAACAAAATCATTTAATAATAATAATAATAAAAGCACTAACCTTTACAGACACATTAGCTGAGCACTGGCCTTCTCCAGCAGAGTTCTTGGCCACTACAGTGTATGTACCAGCATTTTTGGGGAATGCTTCAGACATCACCAGAGTGGCAACACGACCATCAAAGGCAATCTGAATATGAAAGTAGATATTGTTAGGGTAAATATTAATGATAAAAATTCATACTGTACATGTTGTTTACTTTTCATCTACATTCTAAAGATTATGTGTCTGCATAAATATCTATTATTTCCTTTGGGTCCTTCAGCATATCCTTGTTGACACCTGGGTGATGGAGTGGCCTACAGAACACAGATGAATTGATTTTATGTCTTAGGAATATAAAAATCGACATACTGTATAATCTTTCTTGGAAATTTATTTGGTACTTTAATTATTCATGGTATTCTTCAGTAAAGAAAAAGATAAAACTTATTCTCCTTCAATTTCCTGTTCCTTAAAAATTGTTTTTAACAGTCCATCAATATTAACCTCACATTACATCTGCCAATCATCAAAAACAATCCACTCTGGCAGTGAAATACCCTTGGTCTTAAGGTACTTTAAATATTTAGGACTTTATTGCATGTATATGACACCTAACAGTATGAATGTCTGTGGTTTAATCCCCGTGTGATGAATGAAAACTTTATTACATTTATTTACCACTACACTGAGCCACACTGTATGACCAATAAAAAATTAACTGCCAATAAACCAAGAAAATGTTAACACAAAGTCTCACCCTACAGTCTGGAGTTTCTTTCACTGGTTTGCTGTTATGGAACCAGGTAACAGTAGGACTTGGTAGCCCTGTAACATGGCATTCCAACTTGAACTTTTGTCCTGCCCGAGCCATCACGTTACTTAAGGGCATAGTAAATTTGGGTCGTTCAGAAACTTCAACAGCTGGAAGGTCAGAAAAAAAAACATATAATAAATTGGTAGAGCTTGTAAATTATACCAGCTGCTATACAGTATACAGGCCAAGATTTTCAAAAATATTATTAATACTGTACCCAGTGTAATAACATGGAGTGACATAAAACAATGTCTGGTTAGGTTTATTTGGTAAAGGTTTATAGTCAATACATGCAAGATGAGGATGTGAGAAAAAGTGTGCATAGGCATCTCCATGACCCCTAACAATTAAAGACTAATTTTTCAGCAGTTAGTGATCCTCCCAAAAGCCAGATACCAGTTCATGTGACAGTGACAATCTATATCCCTTTAATTATGTTGTGCTGAGATATATATTTTTTTTATCTCTTCCTCCAGTTGTCCTGTACCCACCATTTTCCACCCTTTCTTGAGGTTGCTGTTTCTCATGGTCCATTCTGCACAAGAGAAGCAGAGGAGCCAAGATAATAGGTATAGGGACAGATTTGTTAAAAAGTAAATGCTGATCTTACCAGTGACTGCCAGCTTGGCTTTGGTAATGTCTTCACCCAGGTCATTAGTTGCTTTGCAGGAATATTCAGCTTTATCCTCCAAAAACACTTCTTCAAACCTCAGCACACATTCACCATTATTGAAGGTAATAACATAATCAGGTGATTCATCAATACAGTTTCCATCTTTAGCCCAGGAGACAACAGGGAGAGGATGACCTTCTACAGTCGCCTCCAGCTGGTATGTGGCTCCTTCTTGCGCTGTGCTGTCTACAAGTCTCTTTGTAAAGGAGGGTGGTGCTAGTACCTCTACAGGTTCTGCTTCTATGGAAAAATAAACTGGGTGTTACTACTGAAAAAATGCTGTGCGATAAAAAAGCGTTTAAAAGGTTTTTCTGAAAAATCAACTACATTGCTAAATAATTTCATTATTGCATCTACTGGTCAGTCTCTTCTCAACACCAAGATGTCCGCCTACACAACAATGACCATACAAACCATCACCCAAGCTTTATACTCTCTTAGTACAGTTGTATCCTGTTAATAGTTTTGCCTTATTGTTTCTTCCCAAAATTAAATTCAGTCACACTGCTTTTTAGTCTCCACTCCCTACACTCTGTACTTACAGAGTGAAGGAAAGTTATTAAGACAACTCTCACCAAGAATTACTTCATTATTATCATTCACTATTTTTCTGCAACCTTGTAGTCTCTCTCTCTCTCTCTCTCTCTCTTAGCTATCAATTCAAATTAAAAAAAAATGTCTTCATAAACTTACTCTCAAACATAGTACTGTATTCCAACTCTTTCCAAAACTACACCCATAGCTACCTCTTCCTTGTCATAAAACAGTATGGTGCAGACAACGAATTTGCTCATTTTTGTTTTTAAAATTTTTTTCTTGTACAGTAGAATGTCGATTTAAAGCGATTCAATTTAAGATTATTAATTTAAAGCGACACCCACAATTAAGGACAATGTTTTAATTTAAAGCTAATCTTTACTATTTTGCGGGAGTCAATCTGGCGCATCATATTTAAAATTTTGCGCCTAATGTTTCTCTGGGCACGCGACACTGTCCTAAAGGCAAAGCTGTACTGTACATTTACTCAAAATAATGTACTAAAGGATTACTAAAAATTTTGTCTAGTGCAAACTATAGCATGTTTATATTCAAATTAATCACTATCTTATAAGAATTCCAGCAATGTTAATTATATTCTACCTGGTTACTTCTGTGACATTTTATAAGCAAAAAATATAAACTCATGCTAAAGGACATAAATAAACAAATAATACTTCACTAGACCTTCAGCCCCAACTGCCACACATGTCACTGTCACTTCCCTCCCTCTCCCCCATCTCCCCTATCTTCCCAGCCAGGGTTTGGTGTTTTAGGCTTAAAGTTTTTATCTTATATAATTTCACAGACTAAAGTTAGAAGAATATTATTTGTATTGCTGGAATCCTTGCAAGGCAGCGAATAATTGGAATATAAATGTCATACATTTTGCACAAGAGATAAAAAATTTTGCTCTTTGTACTAAAATTCTTAAATTAGAGCTAAAATTTGTATGTCTAATGCGAGCTATAGCATGTTTATATTCAAATTAATAACTATCTTATAAGAATTCCAGCAATGTTAATTATATTCTCCCATGTCAGTTCAGTGACATTTTAAAAGATAAAACTTAAAGTCACTCTTATGGACAGATAAATAAATAAGCACTAGACCTTGGCATCAACTGTCAAACATATCACCTCATCTCCCCCCCCCCATCTTCCCAGCTAGTAAACAAATCAAATATATCACCTCATCTCCCCCCCCCCATCTTCCCAGCTAGTAAACAGACCATGGGGGCGCCGGTGGGTAGAGCGGTACCGCTCTTGCCTCGCAAGCGAGATGTCACGGGTTCGATTCCCAGGCCGGTGGAAAGTTGTTCGGACACACTTCCCAGCCTCCCTTGGTCCCTGTTCACCTAGCAGCAAAGTAGGTACCTGCTGTAAATCGAAAGTTGCGAATTCGTATTCAGGGAGTTGTTGGAGCTTCCAATAACTTGCTTAGACATAAACCATTGACTCTTCAGGCTTCTACGCCCTTGACTCTTCAGGCTTCTACACCCTTAACTCATGAGACATAAAGGCAAGCATGAACTTAGCATGCTTCCCTGTTGGGCGCTGTAAACGCTTCTGCACTAAACCTTACACAAGGATGTAGGGGGGTGCCCAATAAATATATATAAAAAAAAACAGACCATTTCACATCCTTTAATTTTAGCTGTGTTGATTTATGAGTGTTTGTTTTAATATAAAACTACAAAAAACAATGTTTTGCTTATTCTAGGAGATGGGCTGAGGTGCATCTGGGTAGACTGTCACTTTTTTTAGTATTTTGTGTTTCTCTCAAGTACCAAACTAAATTATTCCATTGAAACAACACTTCGATTTAGTGCGAATTTGGTTTAAAGCGACATGACCTCTCTTGGAAGTCGCTTTATATCAACGTTCTACTGTAGTCCCAAATTCCTGTTCTACCATTTTTCCAGACTGTTCATCACTGGAATATACTTCTCTTGTGTACACAATGAACTTTTCCATATCATGCATTCTATAGCAGTAGATATATGGAGGTTTTCTTCATAGCCACACACCCCTACGTCACACCTGATCAACTTTATTCTGGGTAAATTTTTATCTGAGAACACTAAATGGTTACAATATTTTAGGACGTGCAAAAGAGAGGAACCTAAAAAATCATTAGCTTTTATTTTTCTTTTTTTTTTAATAAAGAGAGATAACTTAGATCAAGTGTAAACAAACTCATCTTTCATTCACTGCCGTTCAATCTCTCTATGATAACAAAAGTTTTCAGGTGCAATGGTCCCCTCCACAATTAGCTCCCAAGGTATCCATCTACTTTTTTCTTGTTGCATCACACCGCTTAAATCACCGACACTGATGTATATTAAACTGTACTTACCCTTTACTATTAATGTTGCAGAAGTCTCAGCCATGCCAGCACCATTTACAGCTTTGCAGGTAAACAGGGCTGAGTCTTCAGTGAAAGTTTCTTCTATAGTAAGTGTACAAATACCTTCTTCATAGCTTGTTTTGTAGTCTGGATTGGCTGTGATGCTCATGTTGTCTTTGAGCCACTCCACTTCTGGCATGGGCATACCCAGAACCCTGCAATACAAAGTTTAACATAAGTCATAGATGATGTGTTTTATATTTCCACACAACAGTACAGTAATCAACTGATGACTTTATAGCTATTGCAAACAAGATATGTAATTGAAGATTGTGCAATGTAGTTGCACTAAATACTCAGCACTACAACAGTTTGCATGAAAAAAGAATAAATGTAGCAGAAAAATTGCAAACCACTGAATTTGTGCATTTCCTATAGGTATCAGACACTACTCTTTCATTAATGCACACATAATATGGTACAGTCTCATGACAAGAACTAATGGTATTTAAGGAGGTAATGTGTGGTAATGAAATGTCAGAAATATTTTATATTCAACATTTAAGAATGAGGAAAAATCAAATATAAATACGAAAGTTAGAGTAACTAAAATTTCCTATCAAACTAATGATTTTATTTTATTTTTTATTCACAAGAAAATGAGAGTTGCTCCCTTTGGCCTGAATACCCATTAGGGAGAGTGTGGATACAGAACAATGAATACCAAGCCTTCAGAATCCAGGGAAGCAATGTGGCTGTCACTATATTAAAGTTGCCTTCGCTTTCACAGCTGTAAGGCAGGCACCCATTTACAGCTGGATGGACACAGGGTAGCCCCAGGCATAAGCTAGGAACCCTTAGCTGTACTCACCCACTGCACTGCATCCCCTATGTAAAAGTAAATGCTACTTACTTGCACTCAAAAGTAAATTTGACTCCCTCTGTTACTGTGGCCCCAACAAGAGGTGTAAGGAATACAGGTGGCATAGGCTGGGGTTCATCATCTATCAGTTTAGCCTTCTTGAGAGGTGGGGTGTCTTCCTGCCTGCTTGGCTCCTCATCAGGTAATGGGATGGCCTCTGTCTGAATTTCTATCTCCACCTATTGGAATTCAATATCAATTGTCATGATAGAGTATTCTGTAAAAAATATTACACTTACATATACTTCTGGGATATACTGTATTGTACACTGAAACAAACCAAAACAAAAAATAAAATCAATTACCCCCCTGTACAGTCCAGTATAGTTATTTTTGAAAGTGACAACAACTTGCTCAGTTTATGCTACAAGATACAATGAGGATGAAAAACCATTTTGTTAACCTTTTCTGGCACTATTGGCTCAATAGGTATAGCCATGGCAATAGCTACTTCTTCAGCAGCCTTTCTGGCTTCTTCTGCAGCAATGGTAGCCAATCTTGCTGCCCCTGCTTCTGCCTGTGCTGCTGCAAGGGAAGCTGCCATTTCTTCTTTCTCCTGCAATACAATATAGTTAAAATGTTACAGTATATGTACCAGGGTTTTTCTACATACTACTTCTGATGGCAACTGGGACATCAAGCCATTACATAATCCTGGCTAATCCACCTAGCATAGAAAATGAGGGGCATTAATGTTACATTTGAATAATAAATGAGATCAGGTTTGCATTTTTGCTTTGTTATCTAGACCTTTAACCTATGGAAATATAAACTTCAAATCTAAAAGGCATTACCAGAGGAAAACGTTCTTGTTTCTGAATGGGAAGCATTACCCTTAGTCTTTTTAAGTTTAAAAGCTGATAAAAATTACTGTGGAAAATAAGGTTTTGTGTCTGAGTGAAAGAATAATTTATAGTTCCAATCATACTTTCAATAGAGGAACAGGTATGATGATACAATACACACAGGCAACAATTTACAATACAATAAGTGATAATGTGCTGTGATATATCAATGAGTGGTTAATACTGTTTGATTATTACATACCGTACAATACTACGGAGGGAATATTATTAACTTGGGGATAATTTCTATTTCTGAGTTGAATCATTAACCAACAAAGTTCCACACGTGTGAACTTACTTTCTTTTGCCTTTCTCTGTGATCCTCGGCAGACCTCAAGTTCTCCACCAACATTATAAGGTTGCGATTGATAACAGTAAAACTGTCTATCATCTGAGTATTCTGGTGGTTCACAACTTCAATCTGTTGGAAAAGAAATTCTACATCTATATCAAGCACACACTTCCCCTGTACATAAATTACAGCACTTTGAATGGAAGACATGTTAAGGTGAAGTTTCCATAAGTTATACAGTGGTCCTAAGTACACCTCTCACTTCCTCTTCATATTTCTTCACTATTTTTTTTTTCAATCTTTAAGACATTTTCTGTTGCACTACAAGGTGACCAGAACCAACAGCAAACAGTTTCTTTTTCCTTTATGTCATCCATTAACTCTCACTGTAACTTTCCTACAAACCACATGATGCTGTACTCCCTGCCACTCACACTCTACACCACTTCCAGGATGTCTACTATTACTATACCACTTACTTTCTTCATATCTTATACGTATAAGCACTTGATAAAATATAATATAAAACAAATTAAAAGAATAATCCACTGACCTGTCTAGGAGGTTCTGCACCATACAGTTGTAAAGCAAGAGAAGATAGTTTTGTTATCCTCTGCTGCTGGGCTTCTTCTTCAGGCTTGAGGAAATTCTCAATGCGGGTCCTTAGTTTCTCTGCCTGTTCAGGAGTTTGGATGTTTGATGAATCACCAGCTATATCCACCAGAAGCTCACCACCCTGTTTGACCCAGTCTTCTGCCTGTGATGGTAAATAGACAAGCAGATATAATTTAGTGCAGACTCTCTTGGATATATATATATATATATATATATATATATATATATATATATATATATATATATATATATATATATATATATATATATATATATATATATATATATATATATATATATATATATATATATATATATATATACATATGTACTGTATAAAAGTATACTGGTCTATATTTATTCAAAGGTTAAAATAAAGAACAACAGAAAACTGCTGTACAGTAAACCTCCACAACACCATTAAGGACTTTACATAACTACCATTTTATATAAATAAAAAAAAAAAAATTATCACTTCACAACTTATCTGCTTAATAACCATTCTGGGGGTTGGTTCGTTCTTTGTTAATAGCTACTGTATATTTATCCAGTGTTAGTACAGGAGTAAACTTGAGTACCCATGGGAGACCTGTGATGTTTGGTAGTGAGGGTCACACTGGTTAACACTCTTCTCACATGTGTCCAGGCCAAGCAGGACTTGAATTCTTGACACAGTGCCAAGAGATGAGTGCATTACCGCTGTACCACCAACACTCCCAAACCTATTCAGGCAATAGTAATAATCATGGGTTATACAGACTACACAGGTTTTAAAACTTACTTCTTCAACAAGCTTGTAGAATACAATGGAAAGTTCAATGGACTTCTTGGATTGTCCAACTTGCATTTGGAAGGTAGACCATTTCTTCTCCAACTCTGCTAAGTCTTCCTGCACTTCACCAGAATCATCTTCAGGACCCAACATCTTTGTGGTGGTTGTAACAAATGTCTGGATGCGCTTTTCTAACATCTGGGGAAGTAAAATTGAATTTTTAAAAGCAGCATGGTTAATACACTAAAGTAATTCACATCAACAGCCAACAATCATCACAATAATTTGCAAGTGGCAACTCCAACTCACTTTGATAATATTACACTGCAGTTAGTTTATGAAAGCTGTATCAAGTAAAGTTGACTTTCATGGAGTGTCAAAGCATCACAATGGGAGCTGTGTTTACTTTAACTAATAAGTACTTTTGTGGGAGAAATGCTGACACTGCACTCTTTTTAATTATTAGAAGGCATACAGTCTAAAATGTGCAGTCTTCTTTAGGGCTACTTTATGTAACCATTTCACGTACTGTATCTCCAATTCTATGTATACTCCATAGTCTTGAGACAACCTCAGTCCTTTCACTTTTTTCTCCTCACAAGCATTGTGCAAGCTGCCTGTAATCAAGAGCAACACAAGATTTTGCTTCACAGCAGGTCACTCATTCTGTTACTGTACTGTACTCCCTTCCACAGGTTGGCACTAAAATATATAGTGATATCTCCGTTAGCTGGAACAATTGGTGTAGAGCACTTCCGAGAATGAGAGATTCCGGGTAACGAGACAACTCTCTCAAAGTCAGAAAAAATCCCCCACCCCCAGAATTTTCCAGGTAACAGAAAAATGTTCTCAGAAGTTCCAGAAATTGCCCATTACATCATCTCTCAAACCCAGAAAAATATCCCCCATCCCCTGAATTTCCAGGTACTCTGTACTGTACCGGAAATTTTTTCTCAGAATTTCCGGTAAATGCACCTTATTTTCATCTCTCAAACCCGGAATAAAACTCCCCTACCCCTGGAATTTTCCGGAATTTTTTGGGTACTGGGAAAATTTTCTCGGAATTTTCCAGAAAATGTGTCCCTCGGAAAATTGTTCCCACAGCCCAAATTTTCTGGAAAATTCCGGCTTTGGGAACAATTTTCCGAAAAAATTTCAATTCCAGCTATCGGAGTTCCAGTTAAGAGGGATTACGGTTAACGGACATATTATTATCTGGTTTATTCCTGCTACCTCACACAACCCAACATCACACAATAGTAAAACTGTATAGTTATCCATTAACTACTAAACACTGCTGCTTCCTGGATGTCCATCCAGCTGCCACACAGAATCTCTCTCACCCAATCCTTCCATCTGTTTTGTGGTATTTCCTTTTCCCTCTTACAATCAATTTCTGAATAAAACATATTATCCTTTCATATTTACCACTACTGTACAAGCAAGTGTGAACTGTTTTACTAGACTAAGATCCAAAATAGGAAACAGAAATATTTCTTAAGGTATTTTTAGCACAAGTGTTGGGTATTATCACTTGTGAGTTTTTAACAATAAATAGTAATACCAATAATAAAAATGTTCAAAAACTGATCTGTGGGTTACATAAAACAGCAGAATATATACATGATGTTTACCTTCCCTGTTGTCTTACAGTTACAACCTTTAATAAATCATTAATAAAGAATTAAGGGAGTAATAATGGTCTCTGTAAGCTATGGACATACACTACAATACTGTATTAATATATTTTGTGCAGAAGATCTACATGTACAGTATATATGTAGATCTTCTGCAGTCAGAATAAAAATACTGTAATAAAAAATATCACAAGGGCCCGAGAATCAATGACTGGCCAAGAATGTGTGCTCTAAATTTGATGATGATGATGATGATGATGATGATGACTGAGAAAATTCAAAGAACAGTTATGTGTTCACCAAACTTTGACACAATGTAAAAAACCGTTGGTTATTTGTCAGTGATCATAATTTAATACTATTATAGAACTTCAGTGTTGACAACAATATCAGAAGCAGTATTATGAAAAGGAAAGATTATGAAATTCTTACAAAATTACTTACATCAACAGTCAGCTGGAAGTGGTTGAATGCTGTCTGCATATTTGTAGCTGCTGCCAGAGAATCACCGTAATGACCTCGCATACGACTGAGCTGCTCACTCAGGTCACGCAGCTGGTCACTAATCACCTGAACACAACACAATATAATGTAAACTCTGATACACATTATTTAAAACACCAGAGGATAAGCCACACACAACATAATTGTTGATAATAAAATAGTTGACAGACATATGTTTATAAAGGCTTGAATAATACAGGCATAGTATGATAAAAAGGTAATGTTTATTTTTTAAATGTGTATGTATTAAACACTCCTCTGATACTAAACACTAAGTCTTTGGCATATAATAATAACAATACTGCTGCTCCAAATTAGTGCAAATTTAACAGTACCTGGAGGTCAACGTGGTACTGTGACCGTCGCAGTTGTCTCTCCAGCAGGTGTTGATGGTACAGCCACCCTTTCTCAAACTCTGTACCTCGTCTTTTCAACAACTCGTTAATCACGGCAATGTCTTGGGCACCAGCCTCGGGGGGACACTGAACATAATAACAGTGGTTGTAAATATTATGAATTATATGTATACAGTTTTCACATCTCATACACTACTGAAAATTCCTTTACCAATAATATGTAGATTATGGTGTATAATACAGTTCTTACAGTCAAGCAGTGATTTATATAATTCTAAATATACACTGTATATAAGAACAAACACTACTGAATCATGTTTAATTTTCTACTCAGTCCCTTATATTTAACATACAACATTTTGTACTGTACATTAACTTCTCAAATTTAATAAAAAGTTTTACCTGATCCCTAATCTTGGACACTATGGAATTGGCTTCATTTTGAGCAAATTTAAGCAGTTCCAACACTGCTTGCTTGGAGGCCTCATGCTCCCTCAACTGGCCCTCCACTCCACCGATATCAAGGCTCACATTACTAAACTGAGATTCAAGCTTGTCACATGAGCGATGGATCTGTCAAGAAAATTACCATATTATTCATTAGACATCAGTTCCTTACTTGTTGCAGTAAAATTATTAATAATGGTAAAGTATTATATTTATTAAAATAAGTCTTAACTCTGACTGCCCAAAGAGAAATTTCAAACTTGAAAAACATATGATACATATAGATTAAAGTTAACTCCTTTATAATGCTATAGTTAGGTGTACTATAGTAGGATCACTGCAGGAGAATAAAGGATCATTATATGAACTTTTTTTTCGTCCTAAAGTCAATTGAAAACTGACCTCAGCAATGTTTCTGCACCATTGTATCAGCATGTGTCCCAGGATCTGATACTCAGTGGCTTTGTTCTGTAGATTTTGGTACAGCTGCAGGAGGGACCCAATGACTTCATCCCTCTGTCCACCTTCATCACCTGGTGAAAAATAAATACAGTAATCACTTGTGCATATTATATTGCATCCTTTTTGCTATCTATGTACAGAAATAATATAGTAAATGGTTCACATTTGATCTAAAAAAAAAATTAAACTCTCTTGTGATCTACAAAAAAAAAATCAGCAGTATCATTTTCTTCATTTCATTATGTTATATCATCTCAAAGCCTTATTGACACATCTTCTCACCTTTGTATGACATAACTTCTGCTTTTGTCATCATGTTCTGAATATCTTCTTGAGTCTTCTTCACAGCTGACACATACACATTTAGTCTCTGCACCAAAGTGTTGGCCATGCCCTCAGGATCTGTGGTATCTCCTCTCAGGAGTGGGCAGAAGTCTGTCTCCATCTGAGACATTTCAAAGTGCATCTGGAAAAAATATGTACACAGTATGTATTGTATAACAACAACAACAAAATTTACTATAGGTTATAGGTTAATATAAGTACAGTGGGGTATGCTATAACGAACGGATCCTACTACAAATATTCCTATAACGAACGGTTTTACCTATAAAATTGAGAATGCTATAACGAACGAAACTCCTACAACGAACATAATTCAATTTTTTTTTTTTTTCTAATTTATTGTTTTATTATTACAAATATTAATGATATTCTTTATTTCAGGGGTTTAGATGCATATTTATGCACTTTTTTACAATTTTTACAATTTTATATTATATTTTTCAGTGTTAAGTGGTTGTATTTGGGGGCCTGGAACGGATTAATCCTATAACAAATGAATGCTATAACGAACAAGGTTCTGGAACCAATTAGATTCGTTATAGCATACCTCAATTAAAAAAAATGCAGAGTAAAGGTAGACCAGAGTACTGTGTAGAACAAAGAGGTCTGAGAAGTCATGACATTATACAGTACTCTCACTATAAAGGGATCATTAAATTAATATACTGTAGTATGTACAATGAATGAAGGGGTGAGACAGTAACAGAACAGAATAACAGATACCAAAAAAATCGTAGTTTTAAGAAATGTAGCTGTATCTGACTACCCTGACCACAAGGCTCTCATACTGGCACGGAGAGATACTGCATAGTGTTAATCACTCTTAAGTACAGTACAGTACAGTACAGTACAGTACAGTACAGTACAGTACTCCTTACCAGGATGGCTGGAATCAAGAACAAACACACTCTCCCTTCATTCTTGTCATTCACCTGTTACAACTATTTTAACATGTGTTCTACTGTGATGTCACAAGAATAATTACCAGTATTTTTGTTCTTGTTTCTCCCTCTTACCTTATTGACATTTTCTCTGTAAGTCTTCCACAATATCAACATCTCCTTGGTCATGGTGATCTTCATATGGAAGTGGGAGTGAAGGTCAGTGATAACCAGACGTCGCTTGCCCAGATGTTCTAATATGGACTCCACACACAGGATGGCACGGTTTGAGTCCAGGTAAGGATCCTCCGCCTGTTGGGTATATCACACATTATCTCCATTACAGCGCATCATTTTACACGACTAAAGAGAACTATAATTCACTCACAACATTAAAATGAAAAAACAACTTGACACTCTCCATATATGTCCCCTAAGAAACTGAATACTTGTACTGAAGCTTTATCTTCAAGACAGAGGTAATCCATTCAAGCATCATAAGGATTATTTTTCTTCAAAATGATTGATCTTTTGTTATAAATTATTAAGCATCTAATTGTAATTGTTGTTTATCAAAACTTATTAATAGTTAAGGCTAAGAAACTGTAAAAATATAAAGACATTAACAAATCTAGATCTACATTTATGTATACAAGGTGGTGTCAACTAATGATATTAACTAATATTAATGTTTAACAATATCAGGAAGTCTTTGTGAAAATGTTCTTTGTTAAGTGTTCAAATAAATGCATCAATGTTACTTACACCCTTGACGTCCTGGCAGAAAGCTTTTCCTGTATTACAGAGATCAAGATATAGCTTCTGAACTTGTTCCCACTTAGCTTCCACCTCAGCACCACGATCTTCACCCTTAGCCTCCTTCAGGAGTAGTTCCAGAGCCTCATGCTCATTATTCACAGCCTCAGCATCTTCGTGGAATTTCACATACTTCTTGGTGATTCCAATACGAAGATCTGAGACCAACAAGTAAGTTTACATTTACAACATACTTATTCAACCAAAGAGTTCTGATCTGTTATATTTTGTCCTAATTTAAGTGTAGCACATCAAGTTCAATTAGAGTATAGTACTGTATGTATATAAAAGACATTGTAACCTTTTCACTAAAGCACAAGTGAAGTCTAGTTTAAACTTTTGCTTTAACTTCTAATTTTATCTTTTTTTTCTCCCAAGCCTTTTCCCACAATAATACAGTACAGTAAAACCAGGCTATAACTGTACAGACGTTCTGCTATCATCCCCTCATACAACAAAGCCTCAAATATCTATCTGCATTATCCCTGTCACTTGACATAACTTACCATCACAACAGCAGTTAATTCCTCCTCAAAAACCACCCAAAGTCATCCTCTCTGTTCATTCACACACACATCACTGCTTCCTAAATGTCCATCTCAGATTATTAAAATGAAACGGTTATAAAATAACATCTAACCTATAAGTTTCTTTAGTGCAATCCAGTGGTCTTGTAGTGCTCGTATCTTTTCTTGGTAGCCGACTCCTTCTTCTGCTGATAAGTCGGGTAAGAGTTTCTCGAGGAAAGTTGAGAGAGCTTCGATTTCGTTTTTCTTCTCCTGTATCAAGAATAAACATAATTATAATCTATACACTTTATCTAAATTATTCATAAGCTTCAGATTACCGCTAAAGCTGCGTTAGTTCATATTCATACAGTATCTCTGTCCAAGGGATAAAAAAGTTTTAAAATTTTTTTAGCAAAATTTGATATGCAGCGATAAATGAATAAGGCAGACATAAAGATGATTGTTTACCATAACATCATGATTGAGTGTTTGGTGGAGGTGAAGAAAGTCTTTGGCAAGACTGAGGGAGCCACCTGGATCCTGGTGGCCCTGAAGGAAGGCATCACCAATGCGCACTAGCCAAGACTCAATCTGTGTAGCAAAAAATATATAAGAAGATGTTACAATTAAGAATCTTAGTGGGTTTTTTTATTAAGTCATTACTTTATGTAAAGGTACAGTATCAAACTGACTCCTTTCCATGTAAGATGCATTTTCGTTCTTGCTTTTAATGTACAACAAGCCATTAACATGACATTAGTGACACACATATGGTAGTGTGGTAAATATATAATTTGGTGGTACATACAGTAGTTCTGTCATACCTACATAGCATATTGTACTGTACTTCAAGAGCATTTTACACCATTGTACAATATTAGGTTATGTGAGCAAGACTTACAGTGTTATACTGTTCAAGGAAGGCATTAGAGAGTTCTGTGCGCTGGAGAACTTGTTCAGTTGAAGACACACAAACGGAAGACAGATGACTACGGCGACGCTCAAGTTCCTCCACAACCAGTGAGATACCCTGTAGAGTAGGAGTGTCATTATTTTCACTTCATTTTTCATTTCTCCAGTAAGATCAAATATATACAGTACTATGATATAAAAAGTAATGAGTAATAATAATTACAAAAATTTTAACTTTTGGTCACATACTATACACATGGTACTCGGAAATTCGCTTTGCAAGATTTTGAGAAAAATAAAATATTTTGCATGATTTTTTTTTTATCTTGGAATTGGATATGAATAACTTAACTACTTCAGTGGTTTAGTTACAACATTTCAAAATTCAAGACTCAGAAGAAATGGTTTACATATACTGTATAACCAAATAAAGTACTGAATAATAATAATAATAATAATAATAATAATAATAATAATAATAATAATAATGATAATAATAATAATATTAATAATAATAAAAAAGAAGTATCACCACTATACAGTATCAATTTATGAGAGTAACACCTCAATTGGCATGTTCATCCATCCCCTTTGGGTATGTGACAGCTTACCATAATGTTAAATAAAAACACAAAATTTCTTACCATATTATGTGGCTGACTTCTGCCACCAGTGACCTCAAGGATTGCATAACCTTCAGTCAGCGCAGGTTGGACGGCTTCTTCCACAACACCCAGTACTAGTGAGAGGCGCTGAGCACCCTCACCACCAAGACTTGCTACCTGCACCTCAGCCTGGTCTAACTTTGTGAGTGCCTGTAATATAAAAGAAAGGTACGAATTACAAGTGCTCCAAACATCTAAAATAAAATACTGTACTAACATTTATAGGTGTTTATGAAGCTTTTATGGAACAGCAAAAAGTTCTGCCATACAGCACTTTCAAGTGTTTTCATAAATAACCTTACCAGTAAGTTCTCTATTTATCAATTTATCAGTATCACATACAAATCAAATTCTCACCCAAGCCTTAATTTCATGTACAGCACATAATCATCATCATTGTTTTACGGCCATTTTCCACGCTTGCATGGGTCAGCCAAGATTACCTGATTGCAGCTGTTGGGTAAACCAGAACAGGATCATCCCCCCACTCACCACCACAAAACCAGGGAGCCAGCCAAGAAAATGCAGCAGAGACCAGGGGGTGGGCACTACTCTGGTGACCTGGTTACCATCAAGCATATTGAAGCAAAATTTCATGGCTGGTTGCCCTTCCGAACACCAACCCACAGGGTGGGAACAGCTGGCAAGGCAGAGTTGCAACTCCCTGAGGTAATCAAAGAGTACCGGCACCCACCTACAGTACAGAAGATTAATAAAGTTTTCAACTTACAGTTTGAGCTAATTTGAAGAAGAGGATTGCCTGTTGGAGGAGAGCAGTACGAGTGTCACACGTTTCATGAAGAGCCGTGGCAGCCTCTAAGACTGAATACGCTCTTGACCGTGCCTCTAGTCCTGCATAGTGACCTTTAGAAGCCATAGTTTCAGCAGTTTTCAACAACCTTATGCATCTATCTTGTTGTTCCTGGAACACAGGATAAAGTTGTATTACAGATAAAATATTTCATCAACATAGTTAGCATTTTATAACTACCTGTATACCTAAATAATACAGTATATCTTCATAAGCTCCACGCCTTAACATATTGACACCTGTTGACCAAGTTGATAGAAGCTGATGAATAACAACCAAAATGCAACTAACCTTAGCAGCAATTTCTCTCTTTATATGTTCGTGGTAGAGGAATTCTGCATCACTCTGTGACTCTCCCAGACCTTGGTGCTGTGACACCTCATCCCGCAGTTGTTTAAGGGCTGTCACTGCTTCCGTCAGGTCCTGCATTAGGAAAATATTATAAAATCAAGTTGGTAAACTGGAATTCTAATCCATGTTTAAATATCAAAAGCATTACTGCTGTAAAGGCCTGCAGCCTAGCTTTATCATTCCAATATTCCATACAATTTGGATAAAAAGTTTCTTAAAGTATTCTTTTGACTGATACATCTAATCCCCTATACAGTATTACTAACATAACATGTACTTATAATAATATAAAACAGTAAATTTATATGTTGAAAACAAACAATCACTGCACAGTAATGGTGATGTAAAGAGACAGCTTCTAATTTGTTGTACTGTACAATACATAATAACAATAACTTCATGAAAACAGAGTTGAGTTTCCAACCTGATAAAGTAAACAGAGAGCGAGGCATTGTTCCAGGTGATGCTTCCTGGCAGAGAAGAGGCCGTCCAAGAACCTCCGGCGGTCATGGAGGGACTCCAGGTAGTGTTCAATTTGAGAACAAGCTTCAAGGAAAACATGATTGTCACTTTAGCAATGAACTCCAACTACTGTATAACTATTACACTAACTAACCAATAATAATAAAAAAAAATAGAGTATCTTAATTATTTATTCCTAAATATAATATAATATCAGGCCACAAGTAATATAACAATGACGGGCCACAATATTAAGAAAAGCATTGCAATAATATTGCAGGTATTAATAAAAAAAGTTAAAGCCTCATTTCACAGCCAATAATTACATTTAATTCAAGTTCACTTGTTTAAGAGGATGGAACTCACCAAACTCTATATTAGTCTTTATTTGAAGAGGTCTTGAGTCTAGTGTGGCACCCTCCGAGGACAGGCCCCTGAGTCTTGCCAAGAGGGCCTGTGCCTCCTGTAAGGTGTACATAGAGGCCTCGAGAACGGATCGTTTGTGATCATGTAGTGACGAGAGGAGCTGCCTCGCCCCTTCGGCGTCGTTGGGCATCACATTGTCGGTGTAGGCTCGTTCGGCGGCGTCCATACTGTCGCTGTACTGCTGCGCTCGACTGTGGGAGATAAAGTCCTCAAGTTGGGTTGTATATTCTCCTTTCCAGATGAGTTTGTTATGCACAACAGGGAGCACAACTTCAAGGGATAGTGTTTGTTTTATAAATTGACTTGTACTTGGTATAACTTCATTTAAAAGGAAACGAAAATCATGTGCCTACTCAACCCAGTTTAACATGCTATTAAAAAAAATATGATTAAATAAAATCTCCCCCCACAGGGCAGGTAACTGAAGCAATTGTAAGAAAATTGGTCACTTCCCTTAAAGAGACAAGAACTGCCAAGTGTCAGACTGGTGTGTGGACTGTACCGACTCTGGTAAAGTCTTTGAAAATTATGCTCTGGCCAAGAACTTAACTCAGCCTATATTCATGAATGTACATCTATTATTACTATTACCATTAATGATGCTATTAGCATTTGCAATATTAACGTAATAGACATAGTAGTAATAGTAGTGCTGTATATGCTCACAACCAGACCTGACACTATACACACTGGCAGCTCCTCAATAGCCATATCCACCCTTCATCACCATCACCATAGCAACCAACCTCAGCAGCGCCACACGCCCAGAGAACCACAGCAATGCTAATCATCCACCTGCACGGCCGTCCAACACCCACAGCAACACCACAACCGTCACACACCCAACACCACAACCATCACACACCACAACCATTACATACCTACACCACAACCATCACACACCCACACCACAACCATCACACACCCAAACCACAACCATCACACACCCACAGCAACACCCCAACCATCACACACCCACAGCAACACCCCAACCATCACACACCCACAGCAACAACTACAGAAACACCCACGGCAACAGCAGGGTAGAGGGCCACTTGTAATGGAACACCCCCTTGCCGCTCACAGGTGCCGGGGCTTGAGGGTGGCGGTGGTCAGGCTACTCGACTCCCTCCGCACCAGGAGTCACTTGGGAGTTCTTGAAGCCTGTAAATATTCCCCCAGGCGATGGATGATTTGTTTTTCTCGTCACACCATTTACGAGCAACAAGATCTAGTTACAACAGCTTCAGTTCTTAAATGGATCTATGTCTCAGATAAGAATATATACAGTAGACATGACACCAGAGGTCACACAAACCAGGACTGAATGAGTCATCTCTTATGGCGTAATGTAGACGTACAGAAAAGGCTTACATTAGGTGGTCCTAACTCTACATACAATGACGTTCGAGAAAAGACTAAACAAGCACGAGGCAGATCAAGATGTCATGAGCAACTAAAGAACTCTGAGTACATGTTGCAGTCACTGGGCCACCCGCTTTGAGGTGGTGAAGTAAAAACCAGATTTCTCTCAACCTTGACACAGCGTCAGCTAATAATACACACTCTTGTCTGTGTGCAGGCAGAATGAATCGAACTCTGAAGTGTCAGTTGAGGCGATACAGGCCGAGTGTATCTCTCAAGAATATGTTTGTTGCATTCTTCTCGAGGCCGGATCTCATTACCACGCAAGAAGGGGAACAAGGGGGTGAGGGAGAGATGTACCTGATACTGAGGGTGAGTTAATCATTTGATTATTACGAATACGTTTAGGGCAGTATGGGTAACATAAGGTCAATCAGGCGTTACCTAACAAGACCAATCAGGAGCTGTAAAGTCTTGTTGAGTCAGTTAGGGTATCCCAATGAGGCCATAATTGACGTCCCTTAAGAAATCCTAATGGAGGCCCTTAGCAAGGTCAGATAACCTCGTTTCAGGTTAAGGTGGAGGAGGGTGCAGGTAGAGGGGTGAGGCGGGCAGCAACACCCTACATGGTCAGCTCAGCCTCACATTAAACACACCACTGGGATACTTTATGACACCCGCCTTCTGTTGGCTTACTGCTGCAGGAGTGTGGGGTCAGTTAGGGGCGGGGCAGCTTACTTCCTGCCCTCCCCTCACACTCAACACCACTATTAACATTAACCAATGTCCCTGTTGAAACCATTAATAAGTGTAACCAAGAATATGATGGTGCTAAAAAAATAAACTGGTGCACCTCCATCGTGTTGTAGGTACCAGTAATCAATGTGGCTGTGAGGAGAGCCACGTGGTGTCTCCTCCTGAAGTGCTACGACGAACTCGACCCGGAGGAGCCTCAGTGAACATTAATATTCATGTCCTTAAGATACAAAAAATATTCAACACATCATCTGTAGTTCCTTGTGTTGTTAGTTTGTTTTAATCTTTCTTATTCCGTAATGAAAAATAAAGTGACATGAAACTTAACTTCAAACAAACAAGTAAGACATGATAGACGTTTATTATCGACACGTAAATATTGCTGACTACTAAAATTCTTCTTCTTCTTAGTTTTATTTGTTTTATCATTTCTGGAGGACCTATAAATCTATCTTTGATGTGTGTTGAGTCGAGGTTCAGTCAGACCCAAAAACTGCACTAGGCCACTGGCTGTCACTTGGTCACGCGAAGGTCGTCTACTGATCCCAGGCAGGTAAGGCAGGACCGCGCCAACATACTGTTACACTGTATGGCTCCCATCATGAAGTTTTTCAGGCAATGAGTGGTGATGGTGATGATCATTATCGTCAAGTACACCAGAAGGGCGGCGGCCGTCAACACACCGTCCGTTTAGTGTGACTGAGGAAAAACCTATGTGAGTGAGAGGCGCCAGAGGGAGCACATATGGTACACGTATATATAGCTCATGTTAATGGCTTGTTGTCCCCATTACGTTTATGTTGGAGGACCCAGACCATCTCCCGGGGTGGTGGTGGGGGGCCTCTTGAGACGCGCGCGCCTCACCATGTAAACAAATACCCCCATTATACTGGTGAGTTGTGTATTGTTCTCTCAAGTTGTGGGTGTGTATGAATGTTTGTCTGTGAGCCACATTCTTCAACATTTTAGTTATTTCATTAAAGCTCTCACTTACACAGTATTATACAGGGAGGAACGAGGTTATGTGTTGGTTTCCTAACAAGATAATTTACACAACTCTCCATTAAATAGTGAAAGTTGACCTTGGCTTTATGAATCTAAAAAATCATTTCTTACTCCAATTTAACACAACTCGATACAATAATACAGAAGGTATATGTAATATATCATAAATCCTTACCAAACTATTTATGGTTCCTTAAATACAGCGAAATGCGTCATTAGTAAAAATATCCCCAGCAACAAGACGCCTGGCATTGACCGGTCCTGGCACGACAACCTCCCTCGTGAGGCTTTTACGGTGTTATGGAAGTTGTCCTTAACCGGTAATGAGGTCACTAACAGTTACCTCCAGCACAATGTTGTTTTATTACCGGGGTTATTAATGAGGTAAACACCGGGGTTCACTGTACACTTGTTGACGAATTTAAACTTTGACCTTCCGCTTGAACTTATTGCGGTGCACTTGGTCATATGTGTTCATTCAGAGTTCACGGAGAAGAGGAACCCCAGCTTAGCTTAGGTTAGGTTAGGTAATTTATTCAATGGGTGAAATAAATGAGGGGTTCCTGTTATTCATGTCTTGAGTTTCATCAATATGGCTTCACTACAACGACAGTTACAGTATGTTCACAACAACAACTGTACTCACGGACAGATCTGGCAATATACTTAGCAAAATTAACCACAATAATAAGAGTTTTAAGTCAACTGATGAAACAAGCTGTAAGTTACCACACACTACTGTAGTGCCCTTAATCAGTGTGTCATACAGGTGATATAATGAGTGAGTGTGAGGCAAGAGGGGTGACTCGCCTCCCCCACCCCCCCCGCCCCCACACACTCCCTCCCTCCCTCCCTCACACACTCACTCCCTCCCTCACTCCCTCCTCACTCACTCCCTCATTCCCTTCCTCCCTCCCTCACTCACTCACTCCCTCCTCATCCTCCCTCCTTCCCTCCCTCACACACTCACTCCCTCACTCCCTCACTCCTCCTCACACACTCACTCCTCCCACTCCTCCTCCCTCCCTCCTCCTCCTCCTCCCTCCTCACCTCCTCCTTCCTCCTCTCACTCCCTCCCACCTCCCTCCCTCCCTCCCTCCCTCCCTCACTCCCTCCCTCCCTCCCTCACTGTACCGAGGCCTGGCACACGTCTCTTCACATTTATATGGTGATTATTATAACCGCCTTACTTATGTAACTGTACACACACACACACACACACACACACACACACACACACACACACACTTATGTTCAGTTACCTCACCTTAGTGTATACTGTACTGTAGTAACCAGTCAAATATAGTTAATTCATTGTACTGTGCTCTGGAACAATGTGTCCAATTATCAGAAATAAATCTTTTATTATTATTAAAATTATTAGTGTTAGTTATCTTATTACTTTATTATTATTATTATTATTATTATTATTATTATTATTATTATTATTATTATTATTATTATTACAAACAAAAATAATTTTCAAATGGACGGGAGGAACACAATTCCCATAATAATAACTAACAAGTAATATTATAAAAGACAAAATTAAATAAAGTGAAAGTGTTGTACTCATGGTCACAACCTTGAACTATTGCAGTAATATTTATGAACCTAAGATTATAATAATAAATGATACAAATACTAACGTTTCTAAAAGAATAATAATAAATAATAATAATAATAAAAAATAATAATAATAAAACAACAATAATAATAGTACAAATACCAATAATAATTCCTGTTTTATTTGTGTGCGTGTGTGTGCATGTGTGTGTGTGTGTCTGTGTGCATGTGTGTGTGTAGGTTCAAGTATAGACACTTATAAAAACTAAGGGCGAGACAAAACAAAAGACTGTCACCTTCTACTACCAAATGTAGAGGTCACAAGTCCCGCCCATACCACCTGCATCCACCGTCACGCTGACACCCACCACTACTACCACCCCTTACCTCCACCACCACCCCTGCCTCCACCACCACCAGCTCCCTACCTCGACCACCACCAGCCCCCTACCTTTGACCACAAACTACCAGCCCCTACCTCACCACCACCCCCGCCTCTACCACCACCCCTTACCTCCACCACCACCCCTTACCTCTACCTCTCACCACCCCCTGCCTCTACCACCACCACCCCTGCCACCACCACAAACACACACAAACAGTGCCAGGTAGCCTCGGGGTATCCCACCTGAAGCCAGAGCGATCTTCAGATTTAGTTTAGTGACAAACTTTTCAAAAATATAAGATTACCACAACCTATTTATATCACTCTACAACGTTAAGGTGTGATCCAACAACTTCTGGGAGACACTTTCTAAAATATTTATTCCAGTGAGTTGCCAATGATCAGATTATTTTTTTAGAAAGGAGGGGTGAAGATTAGAGGTGGGGGAAGGAAGTTATAGTTCGGAAATTGAAGAAATTTAGGAGGAGGTAAGAGAGGGCGGGCTGACCGCCTAGCTAAGCTAATAGTATGTGGGGGTTGTGTCAGGGGTTAGTTATTGTTCTGTGGTACAGGCACTAGACGAGCTTCATCCCATATATGGGTGTTTTGAGGGCCTTATTTCATATTCCGCCGACCCTACTGGCGGATGCTGGTCTAGGGAGGTTGTCTATTGCTTGGCCGTAGTAGATCGGATAATGGCTTGAGATTTGGTAACTTTTTGGGAACCATGTATGGTTGTTGTCGTTATCTGGTGGGAGTCTTTGAAGGAGTTTTTGCTCTGATCGTTCTATCTTCTACCAGGCTCTGCTGGCCAGAGAAGAGAGAAGGGAAGAAGTAGAAGAAAAGGGAAGGAATATTAAGAGAAGATAAGAGGGAGAAGAGAAGGGAGGGGGGTAAGAAAAGAGAGACACTGAAGAGAAAGAGAGAGAGCGATGCTATGAAAGGAAGGAGAGAGAGAGAGAGAGAGAGAGAGAGAGAGAGAGAGAGAGAGAGAGAGAGAGGCAGTGATCAGTTCCGGCAACACTCTCCTCAAAGTAAACAGGGAGACAGACACTCTTACAGCTCCTCCCAGACACATACTGTTAATTAACTATATTTGGGTAGCGATAAGTGTTGCAACCCTCCGTGTGTACCTTACGACCCGTGTGTGTGTGTGTGTGTGTGTGTGTGTGTGTGTGTGTGTGTGTGTGTGTGTGTGTAAACAATATCATTATCATCATCGTTACCAATCATCCCCCACGATACTAACAGCAACAAAAACTAACACTTCAACATTTATCACACAGCTCACATGATATAATTACTTTAATAAACAAGACCTTTTTTTTTCACCTGTACAACCTGCAGCAGTGTATCAAGACCTAATGAACGTGAGGTGAGCCCGCTGAGCCCCTGAAGCAGCGTGCAGGTGATATCGGGGGTTCATAGGTGATATCGGGTTCCTACAGATATCAGTTCCAACAGGTGATATCGGGGTTCCTACAGATATCGGGGTTCCTACAGGTATATCGGGCGGTGATATCGGGTTCCTGCAGATATCGGGTTCCAACAGGTGAAATTGGGGTCCTGGAGGAATATTGGGGTTCCTACTGGTGATATGTTCAGGCAGGTAATATCGGGGTTCCTGCAGGAATATAGTTCCTACGGGTGATATCGGGGTTCCAACAGGTGATATCGGAGTTCATGGAGGTGAAATCGGGTTCATAAAGGTAATATCGATTCCTGCAGGTGATATCGGGGTTCATAGAGGTGAAATCAGGGGTTCATAAAGGTAATATGGTCTGAGGTATATCGGGGTTCCTACAGGTGATATCAGGGTTCATAAAGGTAATATCGGGGTTCCTGCAGGTGATAGGGGTTCATAGAAGTGGTATCAGGTTCTACAGGATCGGGGGTTCATAGAGGTGAAATCGGGGTTCCTACAGGTATTATCGGGGTTCCAGGTATATCGTTCCTCAGGTGAAACGGGGTTCATAGAGGTGAAATCGGGGTTCAGGTGATAGGTTCTGGATTATCGGGGTTCATAGAAGGATATCGGGGTTCCTACAGATGATATCGTTCCGGATATCGGGTTCGGGGTCTAGGGTTCATAAAGGTAATATCGTTCCTACAGGTGATATCGGGGTTCCTGCAGGTGATAAATTTAATTACTCTCGTTATACCTGTTTTACGCCGCCTCAGGTGAGCAGTCGACCCAGTGTATTACTTGAAGGTATACGTCGATGTTACAGCGTAGTGGTGAGGGTGGTGGGTGGGCGGGGTGGGTGTGTGAGTGGGTGTAGGGTGGTGATTGGGTGTGGTATGGGTGGGTGGTTGTGGGGTGGTGGGTGGGCGGGTGTAGGTGGTGATTGGGTGTGGTGGGGTGGTGGTGGGTGGTGGGTGGCGGGGTGGGTGTGGAGGTGTGGTGGTGACTGGGTGTGGGTGTGGGTGGTTGTGGGGTGGTGGTGGGCGGGTAGAGTGGTGTGGGTGTAGTTGGTGGGGGTGTAGAGGATGGGTGTGGGGTGGTGGATGGGTGGGTGTGGGGTGGTGGGTGGGTGTGGGGTGGGGGGATGGGGTGAGAGGGTGGGTGGGTGGGGTGAGGGGTGTGGGTGTGGGTGGTGGATGTGTGAGGGTGTAAGTGGTGATTGGGTGTGGTGGGTGGGTGGTTGTGGGTGGTGGGGGTGTGGGATGTGTGGTGGGTGTGGGGTGGTGATTGGGTGTGGTATGGGTGGGTGGGGTGGTGGGTGGGGGTGGGTGGATGGTGTGGGTGAGGGGTAGTGGGTGGGGGGTGGATGGTGTGGGTGAGAGGGTGGTGTGTGGTGTAGGTGGGTGGGGTGTGGTGGTGGGTGGGTGAGGTGGTGGTGTGGGTGGGTGTGTGGTGGTGTGGGGTTGGTGGATGGGTGAGTGAGGGGGTGGGGTGGTGTGTGTGTGTGGGTAGGAGGGTGGGTGGGGCGTGGTGTGGTGGGAGAGGGGTGGTGTGGTGGCATGTGGTGTGGGGTGGGTGTGGGGTGCATATCAGTGTGGGTGGCAGAGTGAGGGGTGGGTGGCAGAATGAGGGTGTGGGTGGGTGTGTGGGGTGTGGGTGGCAGAGTGAGGAGCGTGGTGGCAGAATGAGGGTGTGGGTGGCAGTGTGGGGTGGGGTGGCAGTGTGTTGGTGTGGCAGAGTGAGGAGTGGGTGACAGATTGAGGGTGTGGGTGTGAGTGTGTGGGTAGCAGAGTGAGGATGTGGGTAGCAGGTGGGTGGCAGAGTGAGGGTGTGGGCGTTGAGGTGGGTGTGTGGGTGTGGAGTGTGGGGTAGCAGAGGGATGTGAGTAGGTGGGGTGGTGAGGGTGGGTGGGTAGAATGAGGGGGTGGAGAATGAGGGGATAGCAGGGGGGGTGGTAGAGTGAGGATGTGGGTGGAAGGTGGGACAGAGGGGTTCCATGCACCCACCCCCTCCACTCTACCAGGACCTGCGTGACCACATGCCCAATACAGTCACTGAGAGCCGACAGAAGCAGGTGGTGGTGGTGCTGTAGAGTGGTAGTATGGTGGAGAAGGTGGTGGTGGGAGGAAGGTGGTGGTGGAGAAGAAGGTGGAGATAGACATCGTAATCACATGGTAAACATTTTACTCAATGAACTAAACTACTAAACTATCCATCCACACACACACACACGTCGACAGTAAAGACGTACATTGAGAGTTACTGTAGAGTGGAGAGACGAAATGGATAATAAAACACAAAAAGAAAACATCAGTTAACGAAGATGAAGTGTGAGGCAGATGCAATAATCACCGGCTTGTGGAGAAGAGATGATGAGGATAACGTAAGTAGTTAATGAAGAGCTGATACAAGGCTTCTCTTATTCGTCTTCCTCTTCCTGTGTGTGTAGTTAATCACGTGTGTGTGTTGTGGGTAGCTCGAGTCGTTACTCTTCCCTTAGTTATCAGTCCTGTGCTTCTTCTCTTGTTATTCTCATCTATCTCTTGTCCCTCTCATTCACATCTCTCTCCATCTTATTTATTCTCTATCTTATTCTACTTTGTTTTCTCCAGAGTTAGTATAATAATAATAATAATAATAATAATAATAATAATAATAAACGTAACTTTCCCCAAGAGTTTCCAAAATCGATACACAACCTGAGTGACGTCACTCTAAACGTAATGGTTGACTGACACTGAACGAGAACTCCCCAGCCCCCTACAGTGGCACTTAACCCCGCTGACCGATGTTCAATTAGGTGCAATCCTTTTGGGGCTGGGTGCTACCTTATGACCAAGCCCTAAATTAGGTCTCAAAATTAGCCCCGAAACTAACCCCCCAAATTAGCCCCAAAAACTTAGTCCCCCAAAATTAGACCCCAACAAAACTAGTCCTCAACAAAACTGCCCCAAAATTTGACTCGATAAACTTCTGCTCAAAACTTGACTAAAAAATTATCCCTTAAATCTAGCCCCTAAAACAAACCCCTCAAACTAGCCCCTAAAACGAGACCTCAAATTAGCCCCAAACTAACCCCTAAAACTAGCCTCCAAAAAAAAATAGCCCAGGTAAGACTCACGTGTGGAAGGAGACCCCCATGTCGAGGATCTGTTTCCGGTCCCAGCTGTGAGTTGAGGTCCTTCCAGGCGAGGCCGAGTGACTCAGCCATGGAGGCGTAGACTTCTGCCCGAGGGTGTTGTGTAGAGATGAGCTGGTCAGCCTGGTTTAACAGATCCTCTACTGGACTCTGCTTGTTCTGTTGACCAATGGAAACCGAGTCATTAAGTCGATAAGAAAAGAAAACTACATAATACAGTACTACAATTACATAATACAGTACTACAATTACATAATACAGGAATACAATTACATAAAACACACTTCCATATGTTAATCAGAACATTACTTTGAACATAACTTTACCGGTACAATATTCAGGTGCCTAAATATAAAGTTGGAAATATTCCCTGACTAAATAAATTAATAAAGCTTTTTATACGTTTCCTAAATTCTCGGAGTCAAAAATAGACTTCCCAAGACTTCCCAGGACATGACAAAATTTTATTTATATTTTAAAGGTTTTCAAAGATCCGCGTAAGCCAGATGCACTGTTTTAATGGTGGTGTGGTGGTATGGTGGTATATTATATGGTGGTGTGGTGATATAGGTACAGCTGGGTGATGGTATTTGACATGTGTTAATATATGGCATCCGGTGGTATACAGCACTCCAAGAGCACTGTGGCCCCTGTGGCACCTTAGCCAGTGGCATTTGGAGCAAATTATGTAATTCCGGCACATATGTTCCCGAGTCACGCGCTGCTAAGGTGCCAACATTCCCCCAACATCACTCAACTGCATGACTCATACATACAAAATTCCCCCGATAAAACTAACCGATATTAACAGATACTATGATTTATATACGACACGCCTCACAACCTAGTAAATCGTGAATTATCTCCGGACAGACAAACAAAAAACAGTCCGGATAACAAAAACAATCCGGATATAAGGAGGAGGATCTTGGCGGGCTGGTCCTCCACATCTGAATATCTGGGAGGCGCGACCTAATATGGCTGACTTGGTGCCAACAACATTATCTTGGGTGGTGTAGCAGCCACTGTATTCAACCGCCAGCCTGCTACTGCAACCAGACACATAAATAAGAGCAGAGAGGAGGAGGAGGAGAGACGAGGAGGGGAGGAGACGAGGAGGAGAGACGAGGAGGAGGAGGATAAAAGATAGCTGACCTGAATTAGCGCCCCTTGCTTATATATTTCACCTGAGATTAACCACCATAACATAATCTAACTCAACGTTCCTAAGCTAACCTAGAATAATCTAACCTAACCTAATCTCAAGATACTGAATTATCAGGTGAAATAATCTGGGATTAGTACTCAAAGTTGATCCTAAAGTTAAAAGCACAAGAAGGAACAAGAATGTGTAACGAAAATGATTGTAGAAACAGGAAGATAAAAGGAGGTGAAGGCAGTATTTGGGGAGACAATTAAACCTGTACCAGAGCAACAACAGGTACCAGAGCAGCAACAGGTACGGAGCAGCAACGGTGCCAGAGCAGCAACAGGTGCCAGAGCAGCAACAGGTACCAGGCAGCAACAGGTGCCAGGCAACAACCAGGTGCCAGAGCAACAACAGGTACCAGAGCAACAACAGGTGCCAGAGCAGCAACAGGTGCCAGAGGCAGCAACAGGTATGGAGCAACAGCAGGTGCCAGGCAGCAACAGGTGACCAGAGCAACAACAGGTACCAGGCAGCAACAGGTGCCAGAGCAGCAACAGGTACCAGAGCAGCAACAGGTGCCAGAGCAGCAACAGGTGCCAGAGCAGCAACAGGTGCCAGGCAACAACAGGAGCCGGGTAGCAGCAGGTTCAGAGCAGCAACAGGTACCAGAGCAGCAGTGGGTGCCAAGCAACAACGGGTGCCAGGCAGCAACAGGTACCAGGCAGCAACAGGTGCCAGGCAGCAACAGGTACCAGAGCAACAACGGAATTGCCAGAGCAGCAACGAGTGCCAGAGCAGCAACAGGTGCCAGAGCAGCAACAGGTACCAGAGGAACAACGGGTACCAGAGCAGCAACAGGTAACAGGCGCGTGCCAGAGCAGCAGTGGGTACCAGAGCAGCAACAGGTACCAGAGCAACAACAGGTGCCAGAGCAGCAACAGGTACCAGGCAACAGCAGGCGCAGAGCAACAACAGTGTACCAGAGCAGCAACAGGTGCCAGAGCAGCAACAGGTACCAGAGCGACAACAGGTGCCAGGCAGCAACGCCAGGCAGCAACACGGAAGCACAATTGCCAGAGCAACAACAGGTGCCAGGCAGCAACGGTGCCAGAGCAGCAACAGGTACCAGAACAGCAGTGGGTGCCAGGCAGCAACAGGTGCCAGGCAACAACGGGTGCCAGGCAGCAACGGTGCCGGGGCAGCAACAGGTACCAGGCAACAACAGGTACCAGAGGAACAACAGGTACCAGAGCAACAACGGGTACCAGAGCAGCAGCAGCAGATTTGCCAGGCAGCAACAGGTGCCAGACGGCCAACAGGTACCAGAGCAGCAGCAGGTGCCAGGGCAACAACAGGTGCCAGGCAACAACAGGTGCCAGAGCAACAGCATGGTGCCAGAGCAGCAAGCAGACGCAGAGCAGCAACAGGTGCCAGGCAACAGCAGGTGCCAGGCAGCAACGGGTGCCAGGCGGCAACAGGTGCCAGAGCAGCAACGGTGCCAGAGCGGCAACAGGTGCCAGAGCAACAACAGGTTGCCAGGCAGCAACAGGTACCAGAGCGGCAACAGTGCCAGGGCAGCAACAGGTGCCAGGCAGCAACAGGTGCCAGAGCGACAACGGGTGAAGGGCAGCAACGGGTGCCAGAGCAACAACAGGTGCCAGGCAGCGAGACACCCAGAGCAGCAACAGGTGCCAGAGCAGCAACGGGTGCCAGAGCAGCAGCATGTGCCAGGCAGCAACAGGTACCAGGCAGCAACAGGTACCAGGCAACAACAGAGTGCCAGAGCAGCAACAGGTGCCAAGGCAACAACAGGTGGAGCAGCAACAGGTACCAGAGCACAACAGGTGCCAGAGCAACAACAGGTACCAGAGCAACAACAGGTACCAGAGCAACAACAGGTACCAGAGCAACAACAGGTACCAGAGCAGCAACAGGTGCCAGAGCAACAACAGGTACCAGAGCAACAGCAATTGCCAGGCAACAACAGGTGCCAGAGCAGCAACAGGTGCCAGAGGAACAACAGGTACCAGGCAGCAACAGTGCCAGAGCAGCAACAGGTGCCAGAGCAACAACAGGTACCAGGCAGCAACAGGTACCAGAGCAGCAACAGGTGCCAGAGCAACAACGGGTACCAGGCAGCAACAGGTGCCAGAGCAACGACAAGCAGGTACCAGGCAGCAGCAGGTGCCAGGCAGCAACAGGTGCCAGGCAGCAACGGGTACCAGGCAACAACATGTACCAGGCAGCAACAGGTACCAGAGCAGCAACAGGTACCAAGAGCAGCAACAAGTGCCAGAGCAGCAACAGGTGCCAGAGCAACAACAGACGCAGAGCAGCAACAGGTACCAGAGCAGCAACAGGTACCAGAGACAACAGGTACCAGGCAACAAGGTTGCCAGAGCAGCAACAGGGACAGAGCAACAACAGGTACCAGGCAGCAACGAGTTGCCAGAGCAGCAACATGTGCCAGGAGCAACAACAGGTGCCAGGCAGCAACGGGTACCAGAGCAGCAACAGGTGCCAGGGCAGCAACAGGTACCAGGAAGACAGCAAGGTACCAGAGCAACAACAGGTACCAGAGCAGCAGGTACCAGAACAGCGAATTGCCAGAGCAGCAACAGGTGCCAGGCAGCAACATGTGCCAGGCAACAACAGGTACCAGGAGCAGCAGCAGGTGCCAGAGCGGCAACATTTGCCAGGCAGCAACAGGTGCCAGAGCAACAACATGTGCCAGAGCAGCAGGTACCAGAGCAGCAGCAGGTACCAGAGCAGCAACAAGTACCAGAGCAGCAACAGGTACCAAGGCAGCAACAGGTACCAGAGCAGCAGTGGGTACCAAAAGCAACAACAGGTACCAGGCGGCAACAGGTCCAGGCAGCAACAAGGTGCCAGAGCAGCAACAGGTACCAGAGCATAACAGGCACAGAGCAGCAACAGGTACCAGAGAGCAGCAATGGAGTACCAAAGCAACAGCAGCATCGGCAGGTACCAGCCACCTGCTGGAGCACGTCTTATGAGTGCCAAAGACAGCAAAATAATCAAGACGATTGTGGTGTGTTGAGCCAACCATTAGTCTACCAGGAAGTGGAACAGCTCTAATGTTTCCTCTTCCCCATAGTCTCGTGAACTCTCTACAGTGCCAATAATTTCCCCATACTGTCACCAATCCCCTGCAGTGCCAATAATTTCCTATACTGCCACAATATCTCTGCAGTGCCAACACGATCAGTATCCAGAGGCCTTTGTAAATGTTCACATGGTGAGGGCATTATAATGACCTCCCATGATCCCACCGAGTAGAGGCACCACCGGACCCTCTGTGAAACACCGCCACACTGGTTCTTGTCACCTGTTACACGACCCCAGGGAAGTGTTGAAGCACAAGTGTTTCCCACTATTGCAGCCTCGTGTCGCACTTACCACCTGCCACGTCTTCTCTTATCGCCTCCTTCTGTGCTATGTCTACTGCCTTGGTCACTATATTAACATCCACAGTCTTTACTCCTGAACATTTGTAAAAGTCCTACGTCTACATTCTCAAAGGTTCGTACAATGAACGTTCCTCGTAGTTTAAGATGCATGAATGTGTGTGCCTACTTGGCTACCTTCAGCTATAACACCAAAATAAGTCACTGCAACTAACTTATAACAAAACAGCTCACGCCTCACACCCTCAACCTCGTCAAGTGACTATTTCGTTCATCACAATAGCACTACCTCGACTTCAGGCTCTACATTACTGCCCCTCCCCCTCCACCACTCACTGTCAGTCAGGGGTGTGATGGTAGAAACACATACCTGCCATAACTACATAGTGAGATGAGCAGGAGGTCGACAGCCTGTGTCTTTTGGCATTAGACAGTAACTTTACATAATAGGTGTGGGCGGGGAGACTGATTCCCTCTCACCACATTAAGACCACCACCACATTACTCGGCTGGTCCCGCCCCGCCCGCCCGTAGTCGTGTACCCAATCCCTCGTTGCTTCGAAGAGACTTGACATGCCACTGAGGGGCGTCGTGGTAGTCGTCGCCCCAGTGCCGGTGTCAACACCCCGGGGAGCGACAACGTCAGTAGATGGTGAATGTAAACAGTGGCCCCCGAGTCCCTACCCTCCACAACTGGGTTAGGACCAGAGTGTTTACAGAGACGTCCCTTTACCCTGCCCCTGACCTTACCTCCCTTCTTCTCCTCCAGTGTACCTTCACATCCATCCCTTCCTGGCCCTGTTTTCCCCATCCTTCATCTCCCCTGCCTCCTTGGCCACACCTACTCCCTGACCTTACCTCCCTCCTCCTCCTCCTCCTCCTTCATTAGGCGTCTTAAACCTGGGAATCGGTTAACCTGTAGCGGCCATTATCAGTCACCACTACACCAAATCTCTTAACTTTCTCTCAGCATGCTACCACTACTTCCACGCCCCCGAGACAGTGACCTGGCGAGGAGGTGGGCGTGGGAGAACGACGTACCTGTAGCTTGGCCAGGACTTCCTCGTGGGCGTGCAGTAGCTGGGTGGCCTCCTCCAGGTTGGCGCCCAGATACACCATCCAGGCGTCAATTCCACCACACGTAGCTCCAGCCATTCTGCACTCTGCAAAAACAGCAAGAAACGCATCAGATACAACAAACACAAAGTAGATTCAAGGAAACACACATTAATACAACAAAAACACACAAGGTATAACAAAAACATATCTAAATCACTTTGGTTGTCTTTGTTTATTTTTAATTAATCTCCGGAACATAACCCAATAAATCACCATAAAGTATAAATGCCATAATACGTTAATATGGGCACAAATCATAAACGCCAGGACCCAGTACCGTTAACCTAAATGGTTTTCGCCGGCTCATAAACCACTAAGTTAATTACACTTCATTTATAACCCACTTCATAACAGAGATAAAAATTCTATGTAATTAATGTCACCACAGCCTCTCATTTAGCCAACAAGTAATTATCTTTATCTCACACGTCTATAAGATAATTACATAATTACCTCGACAATTACAGCCGCTTATGGTTTCTGTATTTTATAACTCAATTAACAGTACAGTATTTAACTACACCTATGATTTATATCTTTTAACACTAAGTAAACATAGTGATAAACACTTCCCTTAAAAACACAAGTCACTTTTTACGTAATTTAATTTTTCCCTTTAAGTTTTAGCATTTAAATATTTTATCTTTAACTTTCTCATGATTATCTATTTTACAGTTAATAACTTTCTAGTATGTATGTATGCATGTATGTACTGTATGTATATATGTATGTATGTATGAATGTATGTATGTATGTGTACGTAAGTTTGGAGTGTGTACAAGTCTTCAAAACCTAACCTAGCAACCTCAAGCAACCCAACCTCATCCCGTCTGCCATACACCCCAGTCCCCCACCACACCATGCCGCCGCCACCCACCACAACACAGTACTAGATTTTACGAGGTGTAGCGTGTGGGCGTCGTGGGCAGTGGGCGTGAGGGTTACCGTCTGGGGTCACGGGTACTAGCCAGGTAGATGCGATAGCAATGGCAGGTAAAATAAAACCCCGTGGTCCTCCCCTCTGAGACTCGGGTACACACACACACACACACACACACACACACACACACAAGATAATTTAATTCGTGCAGTGTGACACAACAGGCCCCCACTAGCTGAACCCCGCCCGCCCTCAGCCCCACTAGGGTACCCCAGGATACAGGCCCTTATACCCTTACAGGAGCCCTCCTGCTGTGGGTCCGGGTTGTAAACTTATTAATATAGCTGAGAGAGAGGTCGTCACATCACCTCCTCCACACCTCCATCACTCAAGTCCCACAGGCTGTGTCACTCCTCAATGGCTAACTCATTCTCTAAAATCAGTCAGGGTTTCCAACCCTGTGGGTCATGGAGGGTTGGCTGGGGGTCGAAACGCTGGAGAAGAACTTAGTACATTAGCAGGAACATTACCAAACTTTCATTTCGCTGATGCATAGTAACACTAGAACACACATCATAATGTTGTGTCGGTGGAGTAGACATAACATTGATGAATTAGTTGTTATGAATTAATGATTGTTTCTCTTTCTTCCTCTTCCCTTATCAGAAAAATTTGTAAAACTGAAATGGCTGATGGCATGGAGAATTGGGAGGTCGCGTGTGTTTCAGGGTTTTGAAAGGGGTCGCAGTACAAAAGGTTGGGAACCACTGCACGTGTTGAGTAAATGCATTATACATAAAACAACATACTTTATACACCATACAACATACATTATACGACATACAAAATACACCATACATCATACGACATAATACACTATCATGCTTCATACATAATACACCATACACTATACATTATACACCATACATCATACTTTAAACACTATACATACGACATACTTTTATACACTATACATATATCATGCAATATACAACAGACCATACAACATACACCAAACAACATCCTGCTAAATACATCATACACCACACATTGATTGATTGATTGGTTGATTGGTTGATTGATTAAAGAGAATGATAAAAGTACAGTAGATGATAGAAAGTATGATAGAGTGAATGATAGAAAGAGTATGATAGAAGTAGATGATAGACGTATATGATAGCGTATATGATAGAAGTGGATGATAGAAGTGTGTATGGTAAGTGAATAATAAGTGTATGGTAGAAGTGAATAATAGAAGTGTATGATAGATGTGTATGATGAAGTGTATGATAGATGGATGATAGAAGTGTATGATAGAAGTGTATGATAGAGAGTGTATAATAGACGTGTATGATAGAAGTGTATGAGAGATGAATGATGAAAGTGTATGATGGAAGTGTATGATAGATGTGTGATGATGATAGAAGTGTATGAGAGATGAATGAAATTGTATGATGATGAGGAGTGTATGATGAAGTGTATGATAAAAGTGTATTATAGATGAATGATGAAAGAGTATGATAGAAGTGTATGATAGAAGTGTATGAGAGAGATGAATGATAAAAGTGTATGATAAGAAGTGTATGATAAAGTTATAATGGGCGTGTATGATGAAGTGTATGAGAGAGTGAATGATGAGAGTGTATGATAGAAGTGTGATGAGAAAGTGTATGATAGACGTGTATGATAAGTGTATGATAAAGAAGTGTATTATAGATGAATGATAGAAAGAGTATGATAGAAGTGTATGATGAGAAGTGTATGATAGAGGGTGTAAGATAGATGAATGATAGAAGTGTATGATAGAAGTGTATGAGAGATGAATGATGAGAGAGTGTATGATAGAAGTGTATGATAGAGGTGTGTGTGATGGGAGTGTAAAGATAGATGAATGATAGAAGTGTGATGAGACGTGTATGATAAGAAGTGTATGAGATGAATGATAGAAGTGTATGATAGAGTGTATGATGGAAGTGTATGATAGAAGTGTAAGATAGATGAATGATAGAAGTGTATGATAGACGTGTATGATAGAGATGTATGAGAGATGGATGATAGAAGTGTATGTAAAGTGTATGATAAAAGTGTATTATAGATGAATGATAGAAGAGTATGATAGAAGTGTATGATGGAAGTGTATGATAGAAGTGTATAATAGACGTGTATGATAGAAGTGTATGAGAGATGAATGATAGAAGTGTATGATAGAAGTGTATGATAGAAGTTATGATAGACGTGTATGATAGAAGTGTATGAAGATGGATGATAGAAGTGTATGATAGAAGTGTATGATAAAAGTGTATTATAGATGAATTGATAGAAGAGTATGATAGAAATTGTATGATAGAAGTGTATGATAGAAGTGTAAGATAGATGAATGATAGAAGTGTATGATAGACGTGTATGATAGAAGTGTGAGATGGATATTAAGAGTGTATGATAGATGAATGATAGAGAAGAGTATGATGAGAGTGTATGATAGAAGTGTATGATAGTAAGTATGAAGCAGGTGACATGATTGACCTAACACAAGAGAAAGTTGTGAGGGGCAATAAACATAAGAAGAGTTCTGCTGGGGCACGCTAGGAGGGCAGGTGGGCAGGCTCATGAGATTTGGGAGGGAGGGATGAGGGAAGGAAGGAAGGAGGGAGGGAGGGAGGGAGGGAGGAGGG